CCTACAGCAGACCAACCAGGAGTATTTCGATTATTGGCCCATTGGGAGCCATTTGCGACTCCCAATATGATTGCACCTTGTTCACGAAGTTTAATAATTGTTGTTGCTTCAATACTTGGAATAGCATCGAGGAGTCCGGTGCAGCCAACTTCAAGAGGTGAGAATATGTCTGACCTCAACAAATTTAAACTTACAGGTGGTCTTGAGGCCATGCGTCGTGAATAACAAATTCTTAATCAAGATTGGTACTCCATGAAGACTTCCTTGAGCCAAGCCACGGGACCGTTCCTCATCTTTTTCTCTAGCTACGTCAATGGCCTTTCGATTGATCTCACTGACCACATGGACAATTGAGTTGACTTGCTCGATTCGCTTGATGTAAGTCTTCATTATCGTTAGTGATACGGCGAAGAAGTCATTATGGGTATCGACGAGCCCTAATAAGCTGTTCACTTGAGAAATTCCCTTTCTTTAAACCATCCAGTATCTCGTGAATTGATACTTGATCAAGCTTCATGGTGGGTATCTTTTGACGACGAGAAACCAAACGAAATCGAAAAGGGTCCATAATAGACTTGAAATCACACATCATGAGAATATCAACGAATGTAGAAGAAGATTTCGATATTTCTTGATTTCATCGACTTGGTGTAATGTATCACGAGAGTGAGTCGTTTGGATAATTGGTGGTGTTGGCGATGATCTCATCATTTTCTCGCAGTACAGTCGTCAAATCGCGTTCAGTTTTCACGAGGCAAGAACGCAATTTGACTGGCAATTGGCCCCCGGCTATTATACGTGATGTAAGTGGTATATGGTGACTTCTATATCTTGAAAGTAATTTATCTTTCTCTACCATTCATTTTCCCTCGATCGTTTTCAATTAGCTCTTCACTCACTTTCACTCACTTGTACTGTCACGGCTGCGGTGAACAATGTTGATTGAAAAAATCCACATGAGGATACTCGTGAATAATTCCGACAATTCTTCACCATTATTGGTACGCTGTCGTGAGCGGATCCAACTCTTCGAGGGTGTCCAAGTATTCCTTCCATGCAACCGAGGGCAATATCCATAGGACAATCGATGATTATTTCAAACACGACTTCCTACAACCCGTCCCGTGCCATCTCGATGCTTTGCGTCTCTCTCGGTTCAGAGATAAAGTCGACTTCTGCTCAAGACGTACGTTTTTGGCGTTGTCATCGCAAAGCAATGCTTGAGTAGAATCTCAACCATGTGTCAAGCCAATGATGCGGTACGGCATTGATGAATATTCAAAGCCACATACGCAGATATATTGGACTGTCCAAGGTTGGTATTACTCGTGAGTGATTATGAGTTTCCATCGAGTAATGATCGAGTAATGATCGAGTAAGAAAATTGGATGGATTGAGTTCGTGCGGTTGGTTATGTATTAGCTAATCACCTCAACGATAGGCTAAACTTAAGTCCGATCCGGCATCGGGATTCGCCTTGGCTTCTTAGTCCTTCAGACGATGCAACCGACAAGCCAACCATGTAGGTACGTGTAACATCAGGTAGACGGTAGGTACTAGGTAGGTCGAAGGTAATCAATCAATTCGAGAACACAATACACAATACACATACATTACTACACATTACTACACACAACATACATATAAACCAAATTAATCGTGGCTTGTATTATCATGGTCGTCCAGCACACATGGTTGATAATCCAGATCAAAATTGTTGGAGGAAAATGATATGTAGGTATCCTGTTCACTGCCGTGTTCGTATTGAGTTTTCCACGCATCCACCACCACCACATCCACATCCACATCCACCACATTGAATCATCTTCACAGCTTCTTCTCATGAAACATCTTCACATGCCGAGATGACCCGAAATAAATCTTCAATCGCCCTAACGTAGAAGGTCTAGCCAGCTCTCATTCTTTCGAGCCTTCCTAATAACTAGGGAGTTGCTAGAAGAAATGCTTTACTCGATCAAAACACCTCATAGGCCATTTTAAGGGTTCAAAGCATGTCCCGACCGCTTGTTCCCTTACGCCAGGGGGAAAGAAAATCTTTATTTATGGAGCTCTAGACTGAGCTAGCGGTGGCTTTCTCATCTTGATCCAGGATGGGCGTCATTGGTCAGATTTTTAATTAAGCTTGGTCGTGTTAGGTTCAAGTCGATCGACCCCTCGGATTGGTGGTTGAGAAGAGAGATAAGGGATGCTCGATGGATGCTCGATGGATGCTCGATGGATTCTCTCTCCGTGTTCATGATAACGATTTTGGCGTGGGGATATCCAAGATACATCTTCGGATTATTCCACCATGGCAAAGCTACGGACAGTCACCGTATCATACGGGAATGCACTCCACATTACAAGTAAAGCCTATCGATCGTAGCTGGATTCTTTCCATTCATGTTACTCAAATTTCCTTATATCTCCATCTTCCCTTTCCCCAGATTTGAGACAAGTTCTTCGGATTCTAGAAATTCACTGGAAACAAAGAAAGTTCCCCCCTTCATTTCCCTTATCAGTCATTCCAATCATTCTCGAAGCTTGCTTATCCATCACACCTCTTATCCCCCACGATAAGACGTATTCCAGTGGATAGATATTCTTTCACAGCATATCTCAATATATCTTCAATTTGTTCCCAAGGACCCTCCTTATACTTTATTTCCCATCGTCACATCACAAAGGTCTTCAATATGACTACAACATACCCATATCCAACTCCTTCGGCCACACCACCTCACGATTCTCCATTACAACCTACAGTTCTCGTCTCTTCGAGAGCAGTCATCTTTGACGAGAATGACAATCTCATTGTCTCGCCTGCAACCATCACCATCTCACCCTCAACCGGCAAGATTATATCCATCTTACCTACCGTTCTCCCACCCTCTAGTTTTCCACCAAACACAATTTACGTCGACCACACTCCTCATTTAATCCTCCCGGGGTTAGTTGATGCACATGTTCATCTCAATGAACCAGGTCGAACCGAATGGGAAGGTTTCAATACCGGTACCAAAGCTGCGGCGTCAGGTGGTGTCACAACAGTCATTGACATGCCATTGAATGCTATCCCACCAACTACAACCATGAATGGATTACAAGAAAAGATCAAGGCTGCACAAGGTCAATGCTGGGTTGATGTTGGATTTTATGGTGGAATTATACCGGGTAACGCCGAGGAGTTGCTTCCGCTTGTTGAAGCGGGTGTCAGGGGGTTCAAGGGCTTCCTCATAGAGAGTGGTGTATGTACCTCCTCGCCAATCACAGCTGCAGTAACTAACACAAGGAACAGGTCGACGAATTTCCTGCCGTCTCTTCCGATGATATAGCCATCGTACTCAAGACACTCAAAGATTCTTCTACAACTCTCATGTTTCATGCGGAAATGATTCCACCAATAACAGCCTCCGTGGGTGATGATGTCCAAGTATCCCTTCCACCTCTTCAGCCATCAGGACCTCTGACAGCATACGACACCTTCCTATCCTCCCGCCCTCCATCCTTCGAAACATACGCTATTGATCAAATCCTCTCGCTTGCCCATCTCGCTCCTTCTCTCCATCTTCACATCGTACACCTTTCAGCCATTGAAGCTATCCCTCTCCTCCGTGCCGCTCGTTCATCTGGTATAAACATTACCGCGGAGACGTGTTTCCACTACCTCGCTCTTGCATCTGAAGATGTCTCCGAAGGTGACACCCGTCATAAATGCTGTCCACCTATTCGTTCGTCAGCCAACCGCGATGGCCTCTGGAATGAACTTTCACACCCGGAATCCGTCATCAAGACTATCGTTAGCGATCACAGCCCATGTACCCCGGAACTCAAACTCTTACCCGAGCATTTATCCCATGGCTGTGGCGCCATGCGCGACGACGCTAAAGGAGTGAATGGTGCATTATTGAAAGATCAAGAAGCTAAAGGAAAGGGCGATTTTTTCGCCTCTTGGGGAGGTATCTCATCAGTTGGTCTCGGTCTTCCAATTCTCTGGACAGAAGCCAGATCTCCTTCTCGCGCTTCATCTTCTTCCTCCCTTGATATTCTTGATATCGTGAGACTATGCGCTGTGAATACGGCCAAGCAAGTAGGACTTCAACATCGTAAAGGAGCATTAAGACCAGGATTAGATGCGGATATTTGTATCTTTGAAGATAATCACGAGTGGCTTGTAGGCAGAGAAGAATTGCTTTTCAGAAACAAAGTCAGTCCCTATACCGGAAAGACTATGAAGGGAAGAGTGAAGGAGACATGGGTTAGGGGAACTAAGGTCTATGAAAGGGGGGTTGGAGATATGAATGGAATGGTTGTTAGGAAGGAAGGTCCGGTTGGAAGGTTACTTTTGGAAAAGAGAACTGTTTAAACTTTAGATTTTAGATGAGGGAGTACGTGAATTGGATGGGTGCTCAAGGTGTAACGATTTGTGATATCACTTGGAAGTTGTCGGTATGGTACGGTATGGGATATAATTGCATGGATGGATGAATGGTATAAAGGAAAACTCGCATGCCGGTTTAGCTTAAGTTGGTTGCATATGTTTGGTGATTATTAAATCGAATTTATGGTATAAGGAGTATTTTTACCGGGCCATTTTTCTCCTTCTTCTCCTTCATACTTCCGATTTTCGTTCGTGTGTTTGAAATGTCCACGGGTACCCGTGGATTTGTAGGCCCCGGGGACCTTTGATTGTGGCTAGACTCAAATGTGGCGTAAGGATGACGTTAACCCTAATATAGTTTGGCTTCAAACGTGACTCCGGCAGAGAAGGGGACCACACAATTCATCATTCTTCAGTTATTCTTCGTTCACCAGCTTACTTAAACTTCCATTTTTACTTCTATAACCTTAATCTATTGCTCGAAATATATTGTTTTTAATCTGAATGCGATTTCAACCTCAACTATAAGACAACATACTTAAAGTCCTGCGACGAAAATCGAGCCAAGTCCATTAACCCCTATCGTCACCTAAGCCTCCAACCATCCACGTGCATCACAATGTCAGACTTTCTACCAACCGTACCTATCTTTCAACCTCCCACCACCTCAGCTACAGAATACACGATTACCACGCCAGCCACCACCGATACCTCTCTTGCCCACGCATCCGCATCCGAGAATCCGATTCTGCACCCCCGGAAATTCGATCTAGAAAGTGACACCGAGCTATACCTCCATGAAAACCGCGTGATTCCTCGGCTATTCTTCTACGAGCCCGAAGGAGAATTGCAAATCTCAAGATTGAAGATGTTGAAAGAGGGGTATTTTGTGGGACATCCGAGGACGTTGGTTTTTAGCGTTGCTGGGGCCGTGGCTCCCGTGAAACGTGATGCTCTTCAGACTTTGGATCTTGGGTTTGGGTTTCCTTCTGCTTCTGCTTCTGCTTCTGCTTCAGGGTCGAGAGATACGGAGGAGAAGTATAGAGCAGCCTATTCGGTGCATTTTGGACCGAAGTCCAGGTATAATACTACCGGTGGAGTGAAGGAGACGGGGAGCAAAATAGAGATGCAGAAGATTGCTGAATTGGCGGCTGCGTGTGAGGCATTGGAGTTTGTGGAGTTAGAGTGTAAGATGAGGGTTAAGGGGTTTGAAGATGTTAGTGGGGAGATTGCTGCGGGTGGATTGGTGGTAGGGGTTACGAGTAGTACGAATTTGTGGTATGGGATTACAGAACATATTGTAAGTTTATTTTCCTTCCGTTTTGTGTGAAGGTACGGGAGAGAGGGGTATCTAGGGGTTGTCATATCTGGCTAGGTGCTTTGGCTACATTGACCAAGACCACACGTCAAATTTCCCACTCATACCCTCTCCCACCTCTACAAACCAAACCACCAAACACTCCACAAATCAAAACTAACAAAACCACAGTACAAATGGAAACGCAACAATTTCCACAATTCAAAAGGCAACAAAGTAGTAGGTGAAGATCTATGGAGAAGGATCGATGAATGTATGAATCGATTCGAATTCAACCAGACGAGAGTCGCTTGGTTATTATGTGAAAAGGGAGATAATGAAGCGGAGGCAGCGGCTCAGAAGAAGGTTGATGACACTTTTGTGAGGGGTGGACAGTAGGTGTTGAGTGAGGATTTGTGTTTGAGCGAGGATAAAAGAGGGGGTGACTGGGGAAGCCGGGAGGAAAGGGGTGGTAGTGGCACGGAGCATTGTGTATGTATGATCTGTATATAGGTATGTATATATTTATCACGGGACTTTGCAGTTTTCCTCGCGTAAAGCCCTGAGTAGGAAATCTTCAGATATAATTATTCGGCATTTAGGAAGATTGAATAAGACATCGCAATCTTACAAACGACTAAATCACAACCATCATTAACTACAATAGGCTTTCTCTACAGACTATCCATTACAGTATTTCATCACTCGAAATCTTTCCCCAAATACGAAGCCGTCTCATACCCAGCATCATTCCTCTCCAAATTCCCTATTCCCAAACACTCAATAGTATAAAGTAATCACCTTATTTCATTCACAAAGTCGACAGTTAGATGCGAATCTGTGGTAGATATGAATTTTGTATTTCAGCATTCAGAGAGTGCCCTGCGTCAAGCATGATAAAGTTAGCCGTGGCGTATGGGAACGTGTTCGTATATGGTGTTTATTGTAATGTAAGTGCTCTTGATGAAAATTTTGGAGTTTGGAGGTGAGTCATCATGGCTGTGAATAGAGTTGTGAAGAAGGTGGGGAGGAGGGGATAGTATATGGTGTGCTTTGGAGCTGTAGCTGTGAAAGTATCAGGGTAGGAGTAGAATGGGAGGAAATCTAGCGGACTATGATACTATGTTGATTGGATTGAGAAAGTGGCATAGATACCAAGGTTGATGAACAGAAATAAGGAAGGTATAATGAAGAAGGATTCAGAAACAGCTAAGTGGTGATCTGGTAGGAATGTATCAAGTGATTTAATTCAAAATGCGGTATCGGGAGTGGGATTTATCAAAGCTTCAAAGCTTCGACTGGTTGTTTGGATTCCTCATTATTTGATAAGTTGTTTGTAAAAAATCATTTAACCTGTGATTTTGAGCGATATGTTGTTCCTTTGAAAAATATGGATTTGGAATGAAAGAGGTAAGTGCTGATGCAGGTATATACCCCTTCTTGAACGCTCCTCCCGTCTTCTCTTTTGCTGAGAAGCTCAGCAGCGATCCATGGGGGGTAAACAAAACGACTCAGAAAAGATTTCAAACAGCTTCCTATACACAATCAAAGCTATCCACCCCAATTTTGGATTCCCATCATTCAATATCTCGATCTGCTCGACGCATCGCAACCAAGAGAACAGTCAATTCTACCTCACCAGCAGCCAGAATACAATATGTCCATCCCTATACATACCAACGGGACATCCCCCGTCCGCCGTCGAGAAAAACTCTACCGAGAGCTCATCCACCGCAAAGCCGTCCTCACCGATTTTCAACACTTACCCACTGTAATCTACGACTGGCAAACAGCCGAAGGACCCTACTTTCCCAACATATACCAACGACTCGGTGAGGGAAACTCCAACGGGGCACCGCAAAACCTCATGGAAATGAGAATCGAACGCCATAGACATCTCATGGCGTCGAATTCGATCATGCCACTAATCGCTCCATATGAAGTATATCACCCGGGCGATCTCGTATACAATGTACGGTATACCATCTGCGCCGCGCTCGAATATCTAAACCCGGACGGAACGAAAATGGAACCGCGAGTGGTTCATGGACCGGATGCTCACAGTGTTATTATACGAACGACATATTCGACGCCGCCGCGCACAGCGATACAGAATATTCCGCATACGGCACCCGGGGGATTGTATTCGTGGGATAATATTGGGATTGAGGCGGTGCAGAAGATGTTGTATGCGCATGGGATGATGTTGTTTGGAGCGGATGGGAAGAGGAGGGTGGTGCCGTTGGAGGAGGAGGTGGTGAAGGACTTGATGGAGGAGGTGGAGGAGGCGGTGAGGGGGTGTGTGGGGGAGATGTGGGGGCTGGGGGAGAATACTATTGGGTGTGTGGAGGAGGAGGAGAAGTTGGATAAGGAGAGAGCGTTGAGATCGAGATGATGGTATGATGGAGAGGGATGTGAGGGTGGGGGTATGGGTGTGATGAATATGTTTATGCGGGGCGAGAGAGGCACGAGCTGGAGTTTTGATATGATTTTTTTACTTTGCTGGTAGCCGAGAAGATGGAGAGAAATTTAAAAATTACTCAATGCAGGTTTTAATGATTAATGGCGAGGGAACTTCGAAGTTGATGACAGACACTCTTTAACGATTATTCAGTTGTATTGTTTCGTTCGTAGAGGGAGGACTCTAACAGTTAGAATAGGTATACAATAGAACTTAAGCTATTCCTCGACATTCAAAGTGTTCTCCTAGAATCGTCCTTTTTGACGCTTGCTTTTCTTTTCTTTACAGAATTTACATGTGTTTCATGGAACACCAGAAAGATGAACTATTCCCATGTACCGCTTTAAATATCGCTCATACACATTCTTAATTATGTCTTAGTAGTCGGTCAAACCTTCGGGGAAGCTTGCGGGATTAGGTTCGACACCTTTGAATCTGTCACTGTTCCGAAATTTGTATAGGAGGAATATAATGGATGTTGACGGAGATGCAGCTAGATTTCAGGTTCAGATTCATGCTCTCGCTCGGCAAGGATTCGGTTACAGTTGCTGGTGAACTGTTTACCGGTGTTTTAATCCACATTAAGAAAGTAAGCTACCTCCTGCATCATTAATACCCAATAGTAATTTGTTCGGAAACCTCCATTATATTCGGGGCGCCTGCAGAACCAATAAGCATTCAACTCACTATCCTGGACGTCTCATGTAAACGGACCGCGGACCAACCGATCATCGTTACCAAGACTCATGTATAGTTTGCATCCGCCTTCTGTATTAAGGAAATAATGATTAAAATACATTCAATCGCAAATATGAGTGCAACAGAAGAATTTGGGAGAGAAGCACTTTAGCTTCAACAAACAATACCACCCACTGAACCATGGCTCATTTGGAGCATTTCCAAAAAGTGTGCGCGACCATCAACGCATGTTGCAAGACGAGATAGAATCATACCCAAATACATTTTTGCGATACACCTATCCTGAATCACTAGGCGAGTCTCGCCGCGTCATTACACCTCTTCTTGAGGCGGTAGCAGACGAAGTTGTGTTCGTGCCAAACGCTACTACGGGTATCAATACTGTTTTGAGAAACCTCGTGTGTGAGATAGGCGATGTAGTTGTTTATTTCAGCACTATCTATGGGGCATGTGCGAAGACCCTTCAGCCTATCTGTGAGATCTCGCATGTTGGGCTGGAGATGTTTCGTGTTGAAATTGATTATCCCACCGAAGATGAGGATGTTATCTTCAAGTTTTCAGGTACTATCGAACAATTACGAGAGAATGGGAGGAATATCAAGGTAGCCATTTTTGATACCATAGTAGCTTTACCAAGCGTGACATTTCCCTGGGAAGCGATGGTGAAAGTGTGTAAAGATTTAGGTGTGTTAAGCCTCATCGATGGTGCACATGGAATCGGACACATTGATCTCTCGCACTTAGGACAGTTGGACCAGACTTTTTCGTTAGTAATTGCTACAAGTATGAATTAAACTTCGGCAAAGTATCATTTGCCTGTAAGTGACTTGGAATAGGTGGCTTTATATTCCTCGGGGATGCGCTATATTACATGTACCGATCCGAAACCAGGTCCTCATACGAAGCACGCTTCCTACATAAAATCTTTTCAGTTGGCTAAAGATTCTCCCAAGCCAAACTACTTTGTTGAAATATTTCAAAAAGTTTCAACAATTGACCCCACTACATATATCTATATCCCTGAAGCAATGAGATTCCGACAAGTAGTCTGTGGTGGAGAAGAAAAAATTCGCAATTACTGTCAAACCATCGCGCTGACAGGAGGTCAAGAATGGCGGAAGTTCTCCATACGGAAATTTTGGAGAATTGTTCAGGTTCCATAAACAAGTCTTGTTTCGCCAATGTCCGTTTGCCTTTGCAGATTATGCAGACTTCCGCCGAAGTTTGTGCTGAATCCGAGACTGGGCACTTCTCAATAGGTTCCTCAGATGCCCCTGAGATTGCCAAATGGATCGAAGAAACATTCATCAAGAGATATGATACAATGATCATTACCAAGTATTATTCAAGCCGTTTATGGGCTAGAATTAGTGGTCAGATCTATCTTGAAATGGCAGATTTAGAATGGGCAGCACAAAGACTTAAGGATCTCCGCTCAAGGGTCGAGGAAGGACACTGGAAGCGGGTGTGATGAAATGGAAAACAGCATTGAAAAGTAAGCAGTGAAATTTGGCTTCAGTCCTTTGTTCAATACCTCTCACATGCACGACTCCCGCACATGAAAATATATGTGGACTGTAGCTTTGGCTTTTAAGGGGGTAGCTATCAATATAATTAAAGTATAACAGTCAGAACAACACTCCCCTCCTCGTTAAATACTAAAAGCCCCAGCCAAAAAATCTTGTATGCCATGAATTCTCCGACTCGCAAACACCTTTACCCGCCTGTCCACGCCCTATCGTAATCTCCCAATCAGGGAACCATACTCTACCAGTAGATGCATATCTACCTCCACAAACTCTGTTGATTTCCGCCATCGCTTTTGCGATCTCCCGGTTGCTGATGTGGTAATACTTCCCATTTCTCTAACTACAGACATATAGTTGTGCTGCACTGTATGTATATATCACCCTGTTTAAATTCTTGCCGATATTGAAAGACATCAAGGGCGTTCCAACTCCGCCTCCAAAAAGTTTAGACATGCCATCGAGGGCAGATCCTACCTCTTCAGGGCTGATAAACTCGCCTGCATTGCATCGAACGACCATTCTTGGTGTCGCCAGCGAGTACTCATTCTCCTTGTAGGCGATGACAGAGTGAGCCACAAGAATTATTGTGGACATCATCTTCATAAGAATGCGGAACTTCATTTCGTATGTGATAGAAATCGGAAAATCGATGTGAACCGCGTACTTTAGTGTTTCGTGCTGATAAATTCCCGAGACGGTTTCGTGAGCTGCTTGTCAAAACTTTTTTTTCACGTTCGAAAGATTCCGCTTTATATGCAAGATGAGCTTCACTGATTCAGAATCTAGATCATTCTATCTCGTCCATTCCATAGCATACTACCACTTGCTACTACCCCAATTTATCAAGACTGCCTGATATTATGTTTCTGAGTGATTCTGATACAGTGGCAACATGAAGAATCATATGGTGGAGAATTCAATCACGCTGATCGATGTCTTAGGTGACGCATGTTTCCATTCTAGACACTGCTATGTCTGATCCACATGGAGTGATATCTTTGATCTTCCCGTAAGCTCCGGAATAGTCAAGACTGAAAATACGCACCACTTGACGAAATGTGTGTATATCCTACCAAACTTATGCCTTGAGATCTTCAGTTTACAAATTCCCTTATCGGTTCTGACACAACCAATCGAAGAGTCAAACCCTGGAGATCAAACTTGGCCCGTGGACGTAAAGTACAACCACATGCTCTTGTGATAATATACATGATCCCAACAATATCTTCCGACTTAATTGATTGATTTTTTGATTCCCCAGCTGCAATTATATACTTGCCCTGAATTTTGAGTGTATACCACTTGCTATCTCTACGAAACATGAAGAAATTGGTATCTTCTGTACCATTTATAAAAGCACAACACACACGCAGCTTAGAAAATTGCTTCACATGAGCATTTTCGTCGGTGGTGGATATTCCTCGTAAATCTAAGACAATAGCCTGTGATCATAGAAAGTATTCTGGGCCTGTCGGCCTGACATCCAACACAGAGTTGTGATAATAAATAGTTGCAATTTCGGATTGTATTACTAGGTAAAGAGAAGTAATACATGAATGTCGCAATCCACAAACAAATCGCAATACGGGAATATACAAATATCACTAAGCAGTCCCCATTACCCACTCGTTTCACCTTCTTTCAAAGCGACTTGCTCTTCTTCTTTTCCGCATCCGCCTCTGCTAGAGCTTTCTCGATAGTCGTCCACTTCAAATCCGGATACCTATCATTATCGAGAGGATCCAATTTTCCTTTTCCAGAGACCATATTTTCCACATACTGCATCCCCTGCCAAGGAGGAAATACACTCGTTTCCTCTCCCCCGATCACGAACTTCAATATCGAAATAAACACTCGAAGGAATCCAATACTTCCTGTCCACATCGGCGTATACTGCTCACCACGAACCTTTGTGACAACAGCAGCCAAATCGTTTGCATTGACCGAGCTACCCGCAATACGTAAGAATTTCGGTGTTGGGTTCGGATCCGCAGCTACAGCAGCTGTGTAAGCAGCTACGTCTGGAATCAACGTGTAATCTAATTTCTGATCCACGCTTCCGAAGTAGAAAATCCGGTGCCATTTATCGTTGATCACTGGCATTTGACCAGTTGTGAGAAGTTCCATGAAGCCACCATTCAAAACACTCGTCCAGCGAATTCCCGAAGCATCAAGCTTGATGTGAAACTCACGACGAAGATCGAGATTTCTATTGGATCCCGGCGTGCACTTGGTAAAATCCAGAGCGAAATCCGATGGAATGAATCGCTGTACATCCGCAGCAACTGAAGCTTCGAGGAGTCTTCCCTGAACACCTAGCATAACTTCTCTGAGACCTTGAAGTGCTGAAACGACTGTTGTGGCACCAGAGACGGCTTTCTGGATAGCTGGAACATCGTTCATGTCGACTTCTAATATATTGACGCCAGCGTCTTGTAATTTTTGGGTGCGGGATGCGGCGGTGCCGGGACGTACAAGAGCTTTGACGGCTACATTTCTCCTGCGTAGATCAAGGGCAATTTGAGAGCCTAGGTTACCTGCTGCACCTGCGACGGCGACGAAGCTTGACATCTTTTGGTGATGACTTCAGTAAAACAGAAGGTATTGAATTGGGGAAATTCGTGAATGTTGCGATGACTAAAACTAGCACGCAGCGTACAATGAAAAATAAAAACCGTTTCGAATCCGATCAAAAAATATGAATTGCATACAAACTACCAACAATCGAGAAATTGCAAAGCTTTTGAACAGTTCAACCAGCAGCTTCAAAGCTAATTATACTAGTGGTTGGGTATCACCACATATGCGATGAACTACATGTTGATGAGCCCAGGCTTACCAATCTCCAAACTCGCAAATAACTAGAGAGCGAAGGCGCGAGATGGCAACATGCTACCGGATAAACTCCTACGGTTCATCCTACGCTAAACCCTTTTGAATTAAGGTTATATCTTATCTCTCGATTTTGGATGAAAAGATCAACAGAAATGTTCAATGTTTCATGCACTTTCACAATCCACCATATCATATATTCATACCTTATTCCAAAACGGGAAGAGCATGCTTCGGATCTAGTAAGTTTATACAGTAGCAGTGCGTGGTAGTAAATAAACCATTGATAAAGGAAAAACAGAAAAAAAGAAAGCAAAAAAAGAATTAGATTTTAAATTAGAAGCTTAGATCCACCATCTCCTCATGATCTACATGTGCACAGTACGTCAAAGATCCAAAGCAAGACGAAGCGAACACGCTTTGTTTTTGGCTAGCGCATATGTACAAATAAGACTAAGCCATATGCGGAATATATTCGATTACTTTACTGTTATCCTTGGCATGGTAGAAGAGGATCTTATATCATCATCATCTTCTCCGCTCCTGTGGCACCGTTGACACGATTTATCATCGCTTCACCTCACTCTTGTAGTACTTGGGATGTATTTTGGGTGTACAGTGTGGAGAAAGTCAACAAGTACCTAGCCACACTCTGTAAGATCGCGCTAGTGCGGATGCGGAACGTATTCGAAGTCGGCCGGCCATGCTTTGCTGACGTTTATCATCATGTTGTTAATGATGTTGGGAGAGAATGGCTATTATATTGACATTTCATTCGTTGATATACCTGCAAGACGAATCCTCCTCGTACGGAGAGATCGGTGTTACGGTTTAGAATCCTTTCCCAAGTACCATATGTAAATCTATATAAAGGTAGGCTACAGCTCGATGTATCAACTTATTTCAATCATCCAGCTATAACATTTGAACAAACCATCTCCAAGATTTCTATTTGATTTTTTCCCTCATAAAATGTCTTCCACTACAACAATAGCGATTGCTGGCTTCACAGGCAGAATGGCTCGCTTGATCACCAATTTTATCCTTCAGGACCATCCAGATGCAATAATCCATGGTATTTGCCGCTCAGCTAGTAAGGTCGACGCAAATGTACGCTTGAATCCTCGGGTTAGACTGTTCGAGGCCAGTTCCACAGATATCTCAACCATTCGCGCTGCTCTAGCCGGTACAGCCGTATGCATATGTTGTTATCTCGGCGACAGCAAACTCATGGTCGATGGCCAAAAGATTCTTATCGATGCATGTATTGCAGAGAACGTTCCTCGCTACATCGCTTCTGATTATACTTTTGACTATCGAACTCTTAAACTCGGCGATTATCCCGCCAAAGACCCATCGATACATATTCATCAGTATCTTCAGGAGAAAGAGGAAACGGAAAATATTAGAGGTGTTCATGTACTCAACGGAGCATTCATGGAATTCATATGGAGTCCTCTCCTTGGTTTTGTCAATGCTGCAGAGGGCAAATTTCGCTATTATGGTACCGGTGATGAGCAGTTGGAGATGACTGCCATGAAAGACGCCGCGAAATTTGTAGCAGCAGTTTCTATGGATCCGAAAGCTGTTGGGGCTGTGAAATGTAAGTCCATGGAATATATGCTGACATCAGTTTGAAGTCAAGATCTTACTGACATTCTTTTTCAGATCGAGGAGACTCAAAGAGCATCAAGGAATTAGCTTATCTATACCAGGAGACCTTTAGAGTTGAACCAAGTATCCAGGGGCTTGGATCACTCCAAGATCTCCATGGTAATATGACTTTTGTTTTCAAGGAAAATCCAAGGAACGGATTTTCTTGGATTGGTTTGTATGGCCAATACTGGATGTCTAACGGCCAGACATTATTGGGTGATACAGATAATGGTCGTTTTCCGGAGGTGGTACCTACTACCGTGGAAGAATTTCTAAAAGGGCACACGAAAGAAAGCTTGGGTAAAAGTACACAATTTTGAGAATGGATTATATGGGATTAGAAGATTAGGTGTTGCTCTACACAACTTTGCCTAATCTCTTTCCTCTCTGCTGTGTCGACGTTTTCTTTGCTTCAAAGGAACAAATCTCTTGCACTTCGACGCGGGATCTACCCCTGAGAGGAAACTTGGGAGCTTCCTATTTCTGTTTTTGAATAGCGACAATGCCTACCAATGGCCTACCAAATCGACTTGCACGCACAGAAAAATCGGGATCCCGATTGCAAAATTTTGAGAATTTCAATATCCAGAAAAGGGTGTGCCTTTGGAGAATGTATTGGTTGTTTCGGTAGATTCGAGTATGTAGATATAATGCTTCTACAAAATTTGTTACATGAGAAGAATGCAAGAGATCAGAAGCCCTTCTTTTCCGATGTTATCCTGGTGATTCGGAATATTAGAAACACAGATTTCATATTGAAGGTGAAAACTTTTTTATAAACTGATACTGTGGCAATCTATTTGTAGAGGTGCGTTGACGACATTTCAAAATGCACTATCCACCATATAACTACATTGACTGGCTGGATAGTGCAGTAGGCTACGGATTCTCTCGTCAGGAATCCTAGCCAGGTATGCGCAAAGCCTACTACAAACAGCGGTTGCAGGGTCTATAACCCACCAGTAATATATTTGGCTCAATAGGGCACTCCAATAACATAAAATCAACAAAGCTTTGGATTCCTTCTGATCCAGTAACTTTACGAATGAATCAGGAAGTTCACCCACGAACGACATATACGTGCAGATCGTATCTTGGCCAGTCCCGAGTCGTATCAGTTGACATAAGTGCCTCAAGGGTCCTTCATAAGAATCCTTGAATGATTTTGAATCCTGTTCTCCTTCAAATAGACTATGGAACGCTCTTGACGTTTCTAGTGCCCACGCATTCACGTCGTTTGGCTTGTCATGGTTGCAAGGCCCCTCATTCAAGAACTTGGGATCGTCTTTCATATTTAACAAAATACTGTCTTGGAGGTGACGATTCATATCGCTAGTATCCCACAATATTGATACCCCTCGCATAGCACGTAGCCAGGTAAGCCGTCCGCTTCCGTCACTGTCGATGTTTGAATCTGGCTGAATGTTTCTAAAGGTCAGCATCGTTTGAAGGTAAGACGATGCGATGACTGCATCTGCATTTCTGGCATTTAAGCTCGTTCGAAGCTCTGATGAGTAGGATGATAAAGACTTAGAGTAATGCAACGTGAAAGCAATGCTATATCTTTTCTGTTTTGGGTGTAAATAATGAAGATGGCTTGCTGAAAAAGCAAGAATGGCATGCATTAGGTAAGGGGCTTTGAGAGAAATCCTTAGCCCATGCTGCTGGATAATTTGCTGGAACGATTGAGAGCCAATCCAAGGAGTTGTGACTTCAGTAAAGTGGTCCAATAATTCAAAAGCATCGCCTGGCTTGTATATGGGGTCTTTAAAGTGCGAGCACGGAACTTCTGACTTTTCCAGGTACGAAATGATTTGGTCTCTGGTTGATGTGCTACAAATCCGCCCGGTCGATATCTGTTGTTCCAAAGGTAATTGGTCTTTCATGACTAGCTTTTGTAGAACGGAATATTCACACTGAACTGCCCCGAGTAGTCTGTCAGAACATTGTCCACAGCTTGGTTTTGCTTCGTCACACTATCTTTTCTATCAGACAAAATGCAGACGATATGGCAGGTAACTACACACCTTTATTCTGCGCTTCCTGCAATTATTGCAGCCATTCCTAGACTTAGTATGCGACTTCCGAGGGCGATAATTTAGGTGGGGCTTCTGATTCGGAGTGATCGGTTGTGATATATAAGGACGTTCACTGATCCATGAGAAAGTTCCCGCTTGCGCCATCAAAAAGCTCTTAGTATCTCGTTCTCGTTAATAGTACCTGAGGAAGTGTATCACGAGTCACGACTACTAAGGCTCGAGTCTTGAACGAATGATGTTTCTGAGGCAAGCCTGGGATCATAGACCAGAGTGTGCTGTCTCCAGATACCTGTTTCTCTGTAATAGTTACCGCTGATACAGACCACATCTGTCTATGTATATGTCGAACGACTTGTTTGTATCAAATCTCTACGACATGCAGTATTTGTGTTTGATGGTCCGAGGCCTGTCTTGTTATCGTTTTAATGAGCAGCAACAGCCATGAGTCTTACGCGGGTGAGGTGCATAATGCACTAGACCCCCCTTATATTGGTCCGTGCTCGTCACACTTCCAGCCCTGTCATCACATAATAATGCACTACGCCGCATACTTCAATGATCCACCGGTACTCTATCCATCATGGTAACTATAACGGCTTTTTTTCCCACTACTTTCTATGGTATTTCAGGATCCAATGTACCTTCTATGACCATCTAGTGCTCATTTTCTAAATACACAAATATATTATCGAGAGGAAAACCAAACCGGCAACCAAGGAAATATGACGTGCACCCAGGCTTACAAACTTCCAATGACATGATTGGTGAGATACCATCGATACCTATCCATGAGATGGTGGGCCTTTGATGCCTCTGTACGTATAGATACAAAACAGAAAGAACGGGGATTACAAGGCAGCAGCAAAGAATCTAAGATGGTCACCTTACTTTCGCAACTCAATTTTAAGGGGCGAAGACTTTACAGAAATTACATTGTTAACGTCTGTAGGAATCATAATGTCTGCACCGTTGCAGGCTAAATCGCCAAGAGTACGGATCGCTGCTGTACCTAGATCAAGGACAGGCTGCAAATACTACCTGTTCAAGAATCTAATCAGATGTTCTTTTACGCAAAATTCCATAGTTTCGAAGCCTTGTTGATGTTGTGGTCTTGGATAGATCTCGTCATGTTAAATGCGACGAGTTAAACCCTATATGTCAAAAATGCCTAGTGGGTGGGTTCGAGTGTATTTATCAATCGCTTGTCTGTTCAAGAAAAAGAACACTTCATAGAGTGATAGCACCGAAAGGAAGAGTCATAGCTAAGCCGAGCATAGCTTGTGAGTTTTGGTCTCAACAACTCTTCTCTCAAATCTAATGAAGTATTAGCAAAACATTATTCATCTACAATATGTCTAACGTTGAAATCACCACAAGCGTCATCGTTCGACCATGAGGCTCAATATCAATATTTTAGATTCTTCTTGAATAAGAATGCATCGCTTCTTTCAGGATAATTCGATACGGAGTTCTGGGAGCGACTTGTGCTTCAATTATGCCACCAAGAGGAATTTATCAAACATGCAGTCGTCGCTTTATGTTCACTTGTGAAAAAAATGGAAGTGGATTTCGATGCTCCGTTATCTAACAACGCCCGACATACAGCTCCCTGCGAGCATTATCTGTTCGCTTTGAGAGAGTACTCAAAAATATTACGTCTGGCGAGACGGAACACAAATGAAATTTTGGAAGTAGGTAAGTTATAAAGTATACTCATCTCACGTGCTTTGACTATTATCTTCGAGTTATATCAAGATCGTCAAGAGGCTTTTATCAAAACCGTCGTATCAGGCCTCAAAATCATATCTAGCGTTCGAGAACAACATATACTCAAAAATACACATTCAATATGGTGACCTGGAATCAATATCGATCTTCTTGCACTGTCCGACCGTTGGGAGCAAGGCCTCTTACTCTTCATGCCATCTCAACCACCCTTCGCACCTCATGGGTCACTGCAGGATCTTGAGGATACTTTGTTCCTTGAAAACATGCCCATGGAGTTCAACTCCCTCCACAAGCGCGCCTCTACTTTGATATTCTCAATCGACGTGTCTCGAATTGGTACGGCATTGCAATTGCCGATCTCCAGGGGACCAAGATCATTCAATCGACGTTAAACGTCTAAGTCTGAATTTAAAGTCATTAATATCTTCAGAAGATATCTTGGCCTATGCAACAGCTATCGATAGATGGTCGAGGGCAGTTACTCCCATCTTTAAATCTAGTCGTTCACGTTCTTCATCTTCACCACCTTACCAAATTGCAACAGCATTTATGATCAAGCGAATTTGCGTGCGTCTTGGTCTTCCAGGGATCACAGTTAATGAGCATGAGATCACAGCTCTATGCGCTGTACTACTTGAGTTTGGAGTCGAGATTATAGAGCCGAAAAACGAGAACCAAGCTTTCAAGCGGGTAGATGACGGTTTAGTAACAGGTCTGTTTCTCGTAACCCAAAGATGTCCTGATGAAAAGACGAAAAGCAGAGCATTAGAACTGCTGTGGAACCATGAAAGGCGTGGCAATCTTTACTAAAATTCTAGTACAGACAAGTCATCGCTTGGAATTCGGCCTGGAAAAGAGTCTGTGGGAAAGCTCACGATGGGAGCTTCACAGTATAACCATTGGCCGACTGAGTTGCTGGAATTGTCAGTAAGGCGGAGGCGAAAGAATCTCAGGCCTATTGGTGAATGGATCTGTTCCGGGATCCTATACAAATACAACATTCCGAGATCATAATTACACTCATCATGAATTCTGGTGCAAATCAAGAAATCTGTTTCAGGATACATGGATATTTGTCGTTTCCCAGATTTGTATAACTTTCCATAACAATTAATTAACCTTTTCAAAAGGTTTGGGCGACTATGAGTTTAATCCAGCTTCTGCTTTGAAATCTGAGTTGTCATTTCAATGGCAGCCAAATGTCTCGACTCATTTGAAGTTGTCTCTTCACCACATTCTCGATGGCTCAATCAAGCAAGCATTGAAGAGTCTCCATAAGTCAAACATTTCTATAATTACACTCCATATTCATACAATCAACTTCGGTATAGAATGAACGATAAAATGAATAGCAGACTCATAACGCCATCCTCCACGTGCATGAATATCTCTGTGGCCTTTGAAAGGACGCATCTTCACACGATGAGCGCCGTAACAATTCGCGAGTCTCCAAACTCGCCCTACAGTCAACAATACAACTATCTCTAGAGTGACTATTCATTCCCGATTTCGTCACCCTTAATTCCAAGCCTCTTCCAACTTATCATCAGTAATCATCTCTGCACTCTTATGATTAATATACTCCGTTGGTCTGAACACATAACCCGGATGAACAATCGACAATGCATAACCCGCAATCGCCACAGTTCTACGAAGCCGTCAGTTTAATCCACATCACAAAATCAGAACAAAAACTTACATTTCCTCCAAACAAATAAACCCAATCTCATTCTTCATAAAACTCATTCCCCATCCTTGCGCCAAGACAGCCATTCTGTAGATAACACTGATGCCGACCGCCAAAAATGTTGTTGGAAGCGCAATATAGAAATACATAAACCGTTTCGAGGCGCGCGTGTCTTCTGCATACGCATTTAGTTGTTCGGGGTAGTCACGAACTTGGATTTTATAATCAGCATGCAGAACACCAAAGCAAATCATCGAAAGCAATTGGAAGCTCAAGCCTGCGATGACGATATTGGAGCCGGTAGAGAGATAGAAGGGTGGGGTAAAGCCGACAGCAGAGGTGCTTTGGAGGAGAGATCCGGAGGTGAGGAGAATAAAGGGGAGAATTGTGACGGAGGTGGAGATGAGAGGGTAGGTGGCGGGATTAATGCGGGAGAGAGTGATGCTGTAGGTCTCGATTATGTTTGTGTAGCAGAGGAATACACTGTTGAGGAAAAATAGGGGTCCGACTGTGAGAAAGAGATTTTGGAGAGTGAACCTGAAGAATTTTTAGTATCATCCGACAATATTTAATTGATGAAAATCTCACCCAACATGACTCCATGGACTAGATGCCATCATTACTCTTCTAGCATACCCAATTACTTCGCATAAACTGCCTAGTATGAAGGTAGCTGTGAATCCCCATGTCTGATACCTGAAACCTTGTATCAACTGTGCGATCGTAATGATGCAAAAAATAGCCAACAAAGTAGCGTTGGCTGGAAGGGATGGTGCGTATCCAAATGGTGTCGCGGTGACAGGGCATTCGTCTGAAACTTCCAGACAATTTGCGTAATAAGACATGACTTCGGAACGTTTTCCCACAAATTCAAGGAAAGAAATCTTTTTGAAGAAAGTAAACATGGAATAATGAAGGAATGTTACTTCACAATGAAGGGTTGAAGGTGACTTGTACTCATTTAGAGCTTGGCGGCACAGGACTTTCTACTCCATCCCAACATTTTGGCGGGAGCGAAATCATGTATACTTCCAACTTATAGGTCGGATTGAAGCCTCAATCAAATGGTACTTCGGCCCCTTGGTTGATGATAGGAAAGGTTACCAGGCCCTTCCCGCCTACGAATCATCATTTCGTCGACGGAATCGTGTTATAGGAGCGGTAATTGATTGCACAGCATTGAAGTGATGGCCGAAAGGAATGCAAAACATTGCTCGGTATACACATATTCTAAATCAAATAACCAGGGATTTCAATCAACATAAAAGTACCACTTGGGAGTGGAAAAGAATGAGAAGCTCGATGGAAGCAGGGTATATCTCTTTGTGGCCCTAAAAAGTTTCCTGCGAGGAACTTTCCCGATCTGAACTGGAGTGCATCCTGAAGAATTGGAAATCCTCGTATGCATCTCATTCGAAGACGACTGATATGAGAAAGCATTGAGCAAGGACCATATGTGTTGGATATCTTGCCGCGCAAGACGGCAATCCATGTGGTTGGCGGTTCGCATCCTTCGGTTCGACCCCATTCTTCAAGGAGGCAAGGATGCTACTTCAATACACACACTTTCATAGTTAAGCAGTAACCCAAAGATTCAGCTTAGGTATAAAATATAACACTTTGGTAATGATTTTCCATATGCGCATTGATATAACGATAAACAAACAACGCTCAATTGAACAATAATGAATGTACAAATATCTATTCGTGTGGGCACTGGGCACCTAGTCTTTTTAGACGAGATTTCTTGCCTCTCCAGCGCTGTTAGATGAGTTTTGGGATGCTCCTACCGCTGAGGATTCATGAGGTCAAAAGGAATGTGTCCTAGAGTAACATCTAAGCGCCTCATGAAACCTGCTTTCTGTGAGCAACACAACATGTCACATAGGTATCACATGAAGATTAGTAAAATTAATTCAACTATCAGACAGTATCTACACCAGAGTTCTGCTCAAACTTGCGTGCAAAAAAATCCAAGCATCTCTATGAGTGAAGATGAGTGGTGAAATAAGTCGGACTATGAGCGAAAGACACCCCGAAGAGGCATCAAAATTGTTGAAAGATAGGATCATTTATCATTACGGCGTTTGCGCTGAATACTATTATTCCCTTTGGTAAGTCTTCTTGTGACTCTTTTGATGTTCATACCTTTGTAATCCATCCAAGATTCACTCAGACTCACAGAAACAGGGGCGAACATATCCACCACGGATACTTCCTCACTCCCGCTGATACCAAAGAAATTGCTCAAATACAACAAATAGAGCTCTTGGTTCGTCAATCGAACCTCGAACCGGGAAGCAAAGTGCTGGATGTTGGATGTGGACTCGGTGGTACATCTCGATACCTAGCCCGAGAATTGGGTTGTGAGGTGATAGGAATCGCATTGAGTGACGCAGAGATAAAGATTGCGAGGCGAGTGAGTATAGGAGAGGCAGATGGCGGAGACGAGGATGAAGATGGTTTCATTAGGCTGGGGAAGGGAAAAGTGAAATTCATGGGTTTAGACGCTGAGATGATTGGAGAAACTTTTGGGAGTAAAACGACGAAAAGGTTTGACTGTGTATGGATTTCGGATGCAATAAGCCATCTTTCAGATAAGAGAAAGTTCGTCAGTGATGTAGAAAGGCTGTTGGATATTGGAGGAAAGCTGGTGCTTGCGGATTGGTTTGCCGTTGATTCTTGTATGAACGATGATGTGAAGACTAAGCAGCAAAAGGATGACTTGGCAGCTATTGAAAGTAAGATATCTTAGACATTACGAGTTAGTTTGATACTAATCTTGGTGAATTTAAGGTGGCATGATGCTACCTCCGCTCATCAGTCAAGAAGTATTTGTACGCTTAGCTGGGATGAAGGGGTTAAGTCTTTTGGTCGAACCACTCGAGATTAGTGAAAAGGTGTCGAGGACATGGTAAGTGATTGTTTGAGTTTTATTGGTGAATTTGCTGATGACGATGTTAGGGATATATCGTGGTCCTTGATCACAAAGCCAAAATTATGGCTCTTTGCTCTTTCGCAAGGAAGGGAAGGGCTAGCATTTGTAGGTGCGCTGAGGGCGACGAGAAGGGCATATTCGAACCATACGTTTCAGTATTCTGTTTTGGTGTTTGGGAAGTAATAAAATGGAATTGTCCATATCTTGTTGTAAAGGGTTCTTGGAAAAATGAGTGGTGTATACTATCTCCATAGACGTTGCCTATTTCAAATCCCACATTGGCCATTGAAATGCGCGCGGGTCGAGATCCCCGCATTCACAAAGCCGCCATCAATCTGGGACGAAAATCTGCCAGCTTCGAATCCCCTCATCTTCTATGTCATGAACATCATTTCGATGGATAGTTTTATCGTGATTTGGGAGGATTGACACAAACAACATAGAATGTTAATGCCTGAGCCGGTTTTCGTAAGCTGTCTGGTAAAATGCAATCATCTTACTCTGAGCTATGGCTCAAATATATCTCTCACTTGGCCCCTTGAGTCAATCACAAACACGCATTACACGGAGTCTCGATATGCTGCTCTGGGTAATCTCCGTTAGCAGGAGTTACATCTATCGTCAAGAATATACCTGCTAGGGAAATAGATCGAATTCTAAAATAAAACATAATAGTCAATTAAATAGAGATATGATTTCAAGAAACTATAAGTAGGGGAGTGCGAAAGATAACGAGAAAGTGCTGAAGTGGAAAATTCAACTAAGAACAGGTAAGGGCAAGAACGCGGGGATCGGTACTTCCTTCACTAGCAATGTTAGAACTTAGAGTGCGTTCGGTTCGTTTTCTTATTTATTTGGAGAAATTTATAATATTGTTAAAATAGCAAGAGTATTGAGGCTAATATATTTGAGGTAATATTAAATAATATTGGAAAATGATAGGGATAAATAATAATAAAGATTTGTTAAAGAATTACTTATAAAGCTTCAAAAAGCTGTTTTATAACCAATATATGACAATCTTGAAAACATTTGCCATTTTAATTTATTTGAATTATTACAAATCTAATAAAGCCTAATAATTTATTTCACAATCTCAAACGTTCGGTAAACCTCTTATTTAAGCTTAGTAAGTATTATTTGATAAATAAATAAGGTCTAATAATTGAAATAAGCCGAAATAAATCGATCCGAACGCACCCTTAGTAGCAATGGGGAAGAACGGGAACTGTAGAACTTCAAGCTTAAGCTTAAACTTTAAAAAAAAGTGTAAGAGTGCAAAAATCTTAAATTTGTACCCAAGTTCCATGTAAAAATCGTTTAACTAAATAGAAGCCCTAGTGCTTTCTTTGAAATGAAGTGAATAAAAGAGCAATATGTGACAAATCAATTCTTTGGCCCGGTTCTTAAATAACAGCTGCCAGCAGTCTCGGATGCCTATCTCATAAACATGGCATTCATAATCACATTGACATCATTGCGCCGGCAGTAACCCCTAATGAACATCCCAAGGCAAAATCATAAACAAAGACTTTCCCAAACAAAAATCTTTCGAGTCCTTCCTTTTTACATAAATCATCACTCAAACTTTTGCACACATTTTCCAGCCAATTTCTTGCCTTTATTTTGTGTGGCCGGATGAGTTGTAGAGTTTAATATATTGAAGGCGATCTGCTCGTGACGTTCGGGGGTTTCGAGCCAATTGTCGAGAGGCGTCGAGTCACTGGTATAGGTGGGGAATACAGAGTATGCAGATTGGTCCTGCAACCCGACCGAGTCATTCTGGCTTGTGGGGATGTTATTGTCCCTACTGTAATCAACAGAGGTAGTTGGAGTCGGGATAAAGATCGAGTACTGTGACGTCGATTCTGAGGATGGGACAGTATAATGCGGTCTCATGAAGACCTCCGTATGTGCATGCGAGCTAGCAACACAAATGCTGTCGGGTAGACGATAGTCAAAGGAAGAAGGTCGTGCCGATGCATTCACAAATTTGCTGTGTCGGTCGCTCTTCGCTGTCGCAAAGTTGCAACTGGTGGAGCCATCGACCAAGTCTGAAGCAAGGTCTTCGTCGATATCACCAGAGTATTGGTTCATAGAAATTGTGTCGCCGTGGAAAATCCACTCGCACGAATTGTTCGACGGCACGGTAATGCCTGTGAGGTCAGAAATCGATGTTTGGAGAGAGGTCGACATTCTGATCGAGGCAACTAGGCAACACAGTTAGTTGCTGAGAGGCATTGGCAAATGAATGAAGGGGGTTGATGATGAACGTACATTTCGTGATTGGAAAGGGAGGTAAGTAAATCTATAGTAATGATAACAATAGTGAGTGGAGTTGTTACAACAATCAATCCTGCAAGCTACTCTGGACTGAATAGTAGAGCTTGTTGACGGTAAACCAAATGATTGTCAATTTAAGAGGGGTGGTTATTATCGGATAACGGGGAAAGACTAGGAGTCTGCAGTCCACCTATCCAGCCTACCTCACCCATTTCATTACTTGCCTCACGCTCTCAATACAGCACACCAATCGATCACTGGTAGCGTCTGTCGCTTGCCATAAATATCATTGTAAACTCGTCCCAACCCTTGATAGTATCGTATCAAGTCACGGGGAGTGACTCTGAAAAGGGCGATTTCGGGGGCATTGTACAAGTTCTCTCAATCAATTCGCTTGGCACGCCTGGACAAGTTCGTCGTTCATTCATAAGAGTATTGTAGATTGCCCTAGCCTATAGCCAATCAGACCTCTTGGTTCGTCTGAATCCTTCGTCGCCATCAGTTGTTGCGTGTGATTGGTCGTAGCTGCATGAACAGCTCAACGCCTCAAAAGCGGTCATCATTGAACCGAACAGCCATAAGTCAAGATTGGAAAGGGTAATTTTCAGAGAAAGCGGTCGCCCTCAAGAGAAAGCAGAAAGTTCAGAGAGGGCGAGCCCTTATATCAATCAATTGCTCTCAAACCTTGCTTTCCAACAGTGGGTAGGATGCACATAACATAGCCATCATGCAAGGATCCAGTGCAAACTTGCATGGAGGACAGTAACCCTTGCGACCGGCATGATGATAACATTTGATTCGATATCGGAAATGATAAAACGGATCGTATGACCATTTTTGCAGAAGCACCCGAAGATGGGCGCAAACAATGGAGGTAAGATCATTGAGGCAGAAGGGGGGTCCCGTATAGCACTCGTTCCTGATGGCCAATCGAAAAAAATCATATTGCAATTCGAATCGCTTTTGATGCATGGCTGCCATCCTGCATGTGATGGATGTTACTTTTTCGTACATAGCCCTTTAGCCCCCAATGTCAGACCACCTTTGACAAGGAAAATTGGCGAGTCAAATATATAACACCCTGTATATGTCGTAGAACTTCGAGCTTCGTTTGATGTGGAAACAACTCATTCTTCTTATGACTGGATCGAGAATGCTGCAATCTTACAAGCACATAGTTGTGATCACTATACATGTATTCTGTATGTCAATGTAGCCCGGAAAGGCTTATGATCAGGCCCGTCTCGCTCCATTGCAAAGTAGCAATGCTCTTTTCTTTACCAATCATTACCAAGTCCCGCATTCCTTCATCTGACAGATCTTTTGCAATGGGTTATTTCTTTGCTGGACATCGTCGATATTGTAGCAGAAGTTCGGGCACTTCTGCCATGCACGTGATCTAGCCATGTCGGAAAATCCCTTAATCTCCTCAGTCCTTATCCTTATCGCCAAGAACTCTTTTGCCCCTTTTCTCGTCGCCGCCAAGTTAATGCATCTTCTTTTTACTTTCTCTGTGCTATAAGAAGCATTTACCATTGGTCAAATAATCAGTTCGGATCATGACAAATTCTCCGTTTTTCTGTCCGGTCCGAATCAATTAAGCTTAGGTGTGGTGATTGTGGCGCATCTCCCGGAAAATCATTATTATGACGAAAAATCGAACATTGAGCCGTACGACGTATAAATGAATCTTTCATTGTGAAGTCACATAATCTGGCACGAGACTCAGTACCAAAACCCTCTTCTGAGTAGCGTTGCAGCCTTTCAGTCACCTTCCCAATCAACAAAGTGACTAGTATGTCGATTCCTCCGCCTTGGCGAGTGGCTTTCAAGACTTTATATACAATTCAACAAGACCCGCGGTGGATAAGTAGGTTTTAGTGTGGTTCATACACGTGATGATCATTGCGGACAAATCTTGGCCTCCAACCAGAAAGCAAAGATGTGCTCTAGATTCATGCTAAATGGAAGATTTAAGGGATATCTTGAAACCTACTTTAAATTGGTGGTTCAAATAAAACTTCTCTGGCAAACTTCACCATTCGTGGAAAATTCAAACTTGTCAATATGAGGAAAGTGCCGACCCGCTGCCAAGCTGAAATCTGGGGATATGGAGTTGAGACATAGGGGAATTCTCATCACTGGAGATTAATTTCCGTCTGAAGATTGTGGGGATAATATCTAGTACCAGTGTGTTGAACATCTGGTGCCTATGAGCTGCCCTTTTCTGGTGATTTATGGATGATCCTTCCTACGTTCCTGTCTGAGTTTATATTGATTTGCGGAAAACCAATGTACATAGTTGTTCCGGCCCATGACAGATTCAATTCACCCACAAGTCGGCTATTGTTTGCATGAAAAGAATACGATTTCGGGAGATTGCTATGCTTGGCCTCTAGGACTTCATAAAGACGGGTGTCCTCAAGGCCTCACCTTGCCAAGTTTGATTTCCATCCATTCTACTTGATCGTCTCATCATGCATAACTCTCAGATCTCTGGGCTTTTAGCCATCACCTTGGCAGGTGCTTGCACTGCCCAGACAGCTTGCACTGCTTCGGTGTATTCCCAAATCGCTCCTTGTGTTGCGTCTTCTACCGCCATTGTTTTGAGCAACGTGTTTGCACCATCAGGTAGCAGTATTGACCTTACCAAAGTTAAGGCCGGTACAAAGATCACCTTCGCTGGCAAAACAACGTTTGGATTCACCAATGACAGTAGCTTCGAACCAATAAAACTGGGCGGTTCTGGAATCACTGTTACCGCTGAGCCCAATGCAATTATCGATGGTAATGGCCAAGCTTATTGGGATGGTCTTGGTTCAAACGGTGGTGTACCAAAGTATGTCTCCACGTCAATTCAATGACCATGCAGCTAAAAATGAATTTAGGCCAAACCATTTCATTGCAGCCTCGAAATTGATTGGAAATTCCATCATTGAGAATCTTTACATTCAAAACTGGCCGGTCCATCTTTTCACTATCACCGGTGCCGTTGGACTGACCATCCAAAATCTGATCCTCAACAACACAGCAGGAGACGCGCCAAATGCGGCAAGTGGCACATTGGCCGCAGCACACAATTCAGATGGATTTGATGTCAGCTCGTCCATCAACACAACAATCAAGAATACAAAAGTTTTCAACCAAGATGATTGTGTAGCCGTCACGAGCGGGAACAACATCACCATTGATGGATTATATTGCTCAGGTGGTCATGGTCTCTCCATCGGATCTGTTGGTGGAAAGAGCAACAACAATGTTACAAATATCACAGTAAGTTATTTACTTCGTCATTGAAGAACTTACTTACTTATTTATTTCCAGTTCAAAAACAGCGAAGTAGTCAATTCCAGCAACGGAGCTCGCATCAAGTCAAATTCCGGAACCACTGGTTTCATCTCCAACATCACATACAGCAACATCAAGCTCACCAATATTGATACTTATGGAATCGATGTACAACAAGATTATCTCAACGGAGGTCCAACAGGGAAGCCAACTAACGGCGTCACTATTCAAAACATTTTGTTTGAAAATGTGGTTGGAACAGCTGCAGCCAGTGCTAAAAATTACTATGTGCTTTGTGGTGAGGGAAGCTGTAGCAATGTCAAGTTCTCTGGTGTCAAGATCACAGGAGGTGCACAAAACAGCTCCTGTAACTACCCAGCAACTGGCTGTCCCGCATAAATATACATGAGGAGTGAGGAGAAGCGAGAGAATAAAGGACATTGGAAGTAGGAGGAAAGAGGGGAAGATTGTATATACTTGGGCATTGTTGTTTGTATATAAGATTACAATTCTTGCAGAAATTCTATTTTATAATCACAGATATGTATAATTAATATACTAACATATTGTGAAACGACCGCTCTAAGGCTCACATAAAATGAGGGATCGTCAAGTCGAGTATCTGTCAACCCGCCGTGTAAATCGTAATCTAAAGTCAAGTCATATTTTCAATCATATCCACTATATACCGTGTATATTCGTGCATACCGAACAATCAACATGACAACGGCAGTCAATAACCCACTCAAAGATATCTAGCGACCGTTTTTCGATTCTAAAGCGGCAGAGGATGGCAGGCTAGAGTTTCAGGATATGAGGTTTTAGTCAAGGAGTAAGGTGAATGTCACTTTAGACGGAACGTCGTCCGTTAACAGACATGATAAGGCTCAAAAGACCCTGAAATAGTGGAACGAAATGAACTGATCGAGCGGTGAATTCTTCAGAACAATACCTGAATCCTACGGCCCTAAATGAGGGGCCATCCTATCCTCATAGTGTAGCGGGGCTCGGACACCTAAAACTTCACAAGATTCCATAGTGAAATATCCCCGCGCAGACTCCCATCTTCCGCATAAATGTTGCTTGCCTATCGTGCTATCGCAGCCTGCATGTAGTATTATGCAAAAAACTACACGTTTTATATGCAACACGCAGGAGAATCGTAATAAGGCGCGGCACGGCGTTGACTACCCCTTTCCGTAAACGATTTGTGACTTGCGTCCGAAACTTACGTCGGTCGACCCGGTCGGTCATGCACGACTCGTGTGTCTCAAAATGAACAAAAAGACAAAGTTTTTCCTCTGTTGAAGAATTTTCGGGCGTAGTATACCTTAAAAAGTAGTATGCCCGTACGGAAACGGAAACTTTAAGAGCCACTTTACCTGTGCAGAGAAAAGCCCCGAGATCAACAAACTCCAAAATAGCTCAAGCCCGTCCCAAACCGAGCCCTATGCGGTTGCTCGCGCCGAAGTGCCTTTGCTTCATAGTCCACTCGGTTGTCTCAACGTTGGCCGTCTCCGTGTATCTTGGTTCTGATAGAACATCCTTTTTCGATAAGATTCTCCGATGACAATGCACACATCTAGGAATCGCGCATCTGCATCTTCTTTCGGTTCGTCTCCGATGACATACAGCAAAGCCTCTCTGTGAGGATACCGTTTTTTGTACGGAGTACCTGTTCTTATTTAGAGACACTGGATCAATTCTGACCCAACAGTAATTTGATTCCGATTGGTCACAATCGGGTACCGTTTTCGTGAAATCTTTGGTGAAAATCAATCGAAATATCAATATGCAGTTAGGTGATGACCCAAATCCTGAAGAGTCGACTGGTCTAATAAGGATACAGGTAATGCTGGGATCTCAAAATATTAAGGATCTCCTTATGAAAGGGTTTTAAGGATATAGATCATTCTCAAGAGCCCAATGTCCTTATCCTTATGAAGAGGTTTTGCTGTGGTTTATGCTGGATCTCGATGCTGAGCCTTATGAGAATAGGGATAAGTCTTTGCTTTCGGGAAAATCCTAGAACAGCATATTGGTTCTTTCGGCATGGTAACCCAAATAGGAAGTAGGGCCATTTCGGTGAGGCAAGAAGATCGTCCGCGAGCCTGCCTCGGCTCACGGTTGTTGGTGAACCTTGAGTATTTGAACCATTTTTGTAATCAAACACAGCAACGTTTGAAGCTTTGAGCAAAACTGCATCGGAAGACATACGCAAGTTTGGAAAAAGCGCCTTGAGATTTTTGTGGATTTGAGTGAATATTGCAACGCGATTGCTTCGGAAAAATCTATTGGTACGGGAGAAGAGGCATCGAATTACGACGTGAGACGGTACCTGGATGACCTTGATTGCGGTGTAGTGTTTATTATAGATTTTGATTGCATTGGATCGGTCCGCATTGCAGTAAGCCCACATCACGTCAAGCGTCTGATCTAGAAGCGGAAAGAGATACAAATCTGTTCGGAGGGATATCTCGGACGAAAAAGCAACGATTCGCGCACATATAAGAGACCGGCTGCAGACGGATTATCAAAATGGACGGTCAAAAGATCAAACGTTCAAAGAACATAATGGCTCAATCAACATATCAATCGGTGGTTTTAGCAAAGCGTCCTACTGGGCAAATTGTTCCAGGAGAGACTTTCGAGACGAAGCAGAATCCAATGGTAACGGAGGCAGATCTCAAGGATGATCAAGTCTTGGTTGAAGTGTTGTATCTTTCATTGGATCCGGCCATGAGAGGTTGGTTAAATGGTACGTACTTACTGTTATATTCTTTCCTCCATTACCCTATTAGCCAGTGATGAATGATGTGGAGGGGAACATTGTTGACACACCCCGCTACCGCACGTGATAATTGCTGACATTGAATGCTGGAATAGATAGAAGATCATACGTTCCACCTGTACAAATCGGTGAGGTCATGCGTGGCGTTTCCATTGGAAAGGTCATCGCCAGCAAATCTTCGAAATTCAACGTCGGTGACTACGCATCCAGCATTACAGGATGGAAAGAAGTAGCTATCATGGCTTCCAAAGATCTTACACCTATTGATCTTCCACCCAACGGCAAGCTCACCGATGCTCTTGGTGTTCTTGGAATGACTGGTCTTACCGCCTACTTCGGAATTCTCGAAGTTGGAAAAATTAAGGCTGGAGATTTCGTTGTAGTATCTGGTGCTGCCGGTGCTACTGGAAGTGTTGTTTGTCAAATTGCTAAGCTTAAGGGAGCCAAGGTTTTGGGTCTTGCTGGAAGTGATGATAAAGTACAATGGTTGAAGGAATTGGGTTGTGATGATGCTTTGAACTACAAGGATAAGGAATTCCCATCGAAGTTCAAGGCTGCTACACCAAACTTCATCGATGTATTCTTTGACAATGTCGGAGGAGAGATTTTGGAGCTTGCTCTCAGCAGAGCTAAGCCATTCTCAACTTTCGTTATGTGTGGTGCTATCAGTCAATACAATTCTGATACTCCAGTTGGACCAAAGGTATCATATTCTCTCCAAATTTTGCTTGCTGCACTTGCTGACCAGAATTAGAACTTCTCAATGATCATCGCAATGAGAATTCGTCTTCAAGGTTTCATCGTCTTCGATTACGCATCCAAGTATGCTGAAGCCCGTAAAGAGATGTCTCAATGGTTGGCGGAAGGAAAACTCCAAAGAAAGGAGACTATTATCAAGGGTGGACTTGGTGTTGCCGAAAAGGCTTTATTGGAATTGTATCAAGGTGTTAATACTGGTAAGTTCTTATTCAATCTAAGAACTTGTAAAACTTTTTACTGACCATTTATAGGTAAATTATTGGTCGAGATTAAGGAAGATAGCTCTGTTGGTTCCCGTTTGTAACAGATACCTAGTTAAATTAATGCATAAATGATGAAACATACAAATTGTATATCCTACGAGTTCCCTTCAAGACGTTGTTTAGGACGTCTTATTCTGTTTCACAGTCAGTGTTGATCATATGAGAATTGTATTACATAGGTGCAATGAACTCTCATATACTCAACTAGATTTGCAATGTGCATTCATAAACTTCATGATCTAACATGAAGATGCTTAAGAAAACATGCAAATTTTAATGACCACCGGTGAATCTAAACCTACAATCCGTCAAAGGCCCATACGACCTCCTGAGTCCCGTCACTTTCCGCCCCAGTCCATGATCTCCACCAATTTCATTAGCCGTACTCTTACACTCAAGGTCCGCCATTCCGCCCCACCATACCTCCACTACCCACTCCGACCTTTCGCCCGCCCACGAGCCCTAGCCCTGCCTCATGACTCGCCCCCGCTATCGCGATCGCTATACCCCCACTAAGCACATCCACAATACCCCTCCACTCCGTTCATCCACTGTCATCCTTCAATCCCCACTGCGGAAGTTCTCATTATATATTCTTCTACCACGGCCGTTCCCATCAAAGAACCCAATCAGGGCCGCTTAGCTCAGTTGGTTAGAGCGTGGTGCTAATATCTGTGCTGTTTATCAGATAGGTTTGGCACGCCAAGGTCGGCGGTTCGAAACCGCCAGTGGTCAATTGTTTTGTCCTTTTTGACCCCAAGAGACCTTCTCTGTGTTAACAAAGTGATGCTCTTCAACTTTTTTGTGTTTCAAGGAAGAAAGAATAAGACATCCCTGTTATACTGCGCGTTGTCATGAATGCATGTCAGGCCTTCTCAAGGTTATACATTCCTATATCGTACTTAAAACGCTTCCACTGTAATTCTATCTAAACAGTTTTTTGAAGAAAGAAAAAAAGGTACTACCTGTATGACAGAGGTCTTGTAACAGCCTGATGAATACTAATAATATCTAAGCTATTATAACATGAAAAGAAATAGTTTCAAAAGTGGTTGTTGGAGATAATAAACCCAAAAGTGAAGACATCATTAGCATTCTTAGTCTAATCATCGCTTTTTCGACAGCGCGTAGCGAAAAAAGGGGGGAGTTGCCATCTATAAGTTCAGACGAAGACTCACGTGATGAAGATATAACAAAAGAGCTGTATTGATCATTGGAGAATTCGGTGCTTGATATTTCTCATTCTGGGTGTGATTATGTCGGGTATCATTATGACATAGAGTGTATGCGATGTACACAGAGCTTGGAACCTGGATATAAAGGATCTCTAGGCATGGGATTTCGAAGTAACGGAGAGACTTGCTCCATTCGCCTCCTCTCCCCCTTCTCCCCCCGGTTTCATTACCGATCGATGCTCTAGATGATCTAGGTAGTATATCATGAGATACGTAGAAATGTATGAAGTAAGACCCCTTCGAACACGAACACTTGAAGTAGATACTTAAGGATAGATACTGAGTGAATATACATTAAATAGAAACGAAAGAGAGGAATAACTCAAGAGAGAAAACCGTTTCAAGTAGAAGTACATACAACATACCTAGCGATTGTATGTATATGTATGAAAAGAGATCAAAAGAGTAGCGCCACAGCCGTGCTACTGGAAATATGTCTAAGAGGGCATACCAGTTAATCGAGTAGATAGTCCACGAATGGATCGCCTTTAAGTTATTTATACACACGAAGAGAACGAAATTGCACTTTGGTGATAATTTAAAAACATGAGGGTAGTTTTCACCACGTCATACCGCTCTTGATATGCCCATCTCCGTTCAAAAAGAAAAGGAGAATTCCATGCAAAAATGCACTACTCCACGACTCCAACAACCTCTTTCCTACCACATCAAAAAAAAGTCAAAAAGCAAACGACATGTGCAGGATTTGAACCTACGAGGCCGAAACCATAAGATAACCGAATTATTCATTCAAGTCTTACCCATTAACCACTCTGGCAACATGCCCATCAAACGAGTTTGCGTGATTTGTGGATAATGTAATCTAATTTCTAATCTATATACCTCATATGTCAAAACTGGGTGAGTGGACTGGGCAGCTCGGGTAATATCCGGTGATCAAGGGAGCTCAATGGAGCTTCAGGAATGTGGAACGACCCCGCGTTCAAAAGTAGATAGACAGGTAACAAAAGATCTGAATTACAATTACAATAACAATACGAACCTCACATTCAAATAATCTCCCATACAATCACCAAATGGCATCTCAAGCAGCATGTATTTTCTGCAAGATAGTCAAAGGCAAGTTTCTCATCTCTATAACATCCAGCGCAACTCACTCCAAAGCTCGATACAAAAACTAACCTGGTTATCCATCGTAGGAGATATCCCGTCCTTCAAACTCTACGAATCGGAAAAGGTGCTTGCGTTTTTGGATATTAATCCTTTGTCGAAGGGTCACGCTGTTAGTATTTTCTTATGCTTTTGGTGATTCAGAGAAGCTTGTATACTTGTGTTTCTGCGAGTGAAGCTATTCCGATGTTTCCAGATCATGGATGGGTAGACGAGGCGAGGAGATATACTGCACAGAGAGAACAAAACTAACACAACTATCAATATCTAGCTCGTAATTCCCAAACACCACGGCGAGAAATTGGTCGATATTCCTGATGATCAATTAGAGGAGATTTTGGTACCTTTCTCTTTCCCTTCCTTCCTGATTCTCTCTTCGCATTTCTTCGACATGATACTCGAATAAATGATATCACAATCACGCGCATATATTATAATGGAATTGAAAAGGAAGAGGAACTCTCAAGATTAGAAAAATACTAACACGATACTCTACCTAGCCCGTAGTAAAGAAACTCGTCGTAGCAACCGGTGCGGAAAATTACAATGTCTTGCAGAATAATGGACGTATTGCGCATCAGGAGGTTGATCACGTATGTCTTTCCTCTCCTTTCCCCCTCTACTCCCTTTATTTTTCTCCTCTATCGTCCCCATCATAGACTACAATAACTAACAGTTTCTCTAGGTACATTTCCACATGGTTCGTCCCTTCCCTCTCATGCTCATGATACCCAATTCCCAATCCCCATAGCACCCAGCAATCCCAATCATCCCCATTCCAACCCAGCCCAAACTAACCTCCTCCCCCCTTCCCACAGATCCCCAAACCCTCCACCGAAGAAGGAATGTCCATCGGCTGGCCACAACAAAAAACCGACATGGACAAACTAAAAGCTCTCCTTGCAGAGATAAAATCAAAGATGTAAATAACCTTATAAAACTCTATCCATCGTATCTAGAAACAAACAAGCGAGCAAGGAAGCGAAGTAGGCGTCGAGAATGAATGGTTTTCGATGAGTTATTGGAGAGGAAGGACAATCTTAATATATTTTATGGTATTTTTTTTTGGAAAAGAATCTTGAGGTGTATTGTATGTATGTAGGGTGCAGGCAGGAAGATGATGGATTTTGTGTTTGCTGGTTGGATGGTTGGATGGTTTATTGATGATAAATGATGAGATGAATGCAATGAGAAGAGAACGAGAAGATATATGACATGACATAGTAAATAACGACTCTCAAAAAGAACAACTTCCATTCCCTCATCACCTATGTATCTTGTATACCTCATCTCATCTCAACCGCGAATTCCAATCCAATCCAATCCAGTCTTGTCCAGATAGTATAATCCTAAATGCAAACTTGCAGCGAACAAACCTACAACCCTACAAATCTAAATATCATCTCATCTCCCTTGCCCCCCCCCCCCCGCTAGCCCAAATACAAGTATGAAGAGAGACTCAGCAAGGAATAGGTGCTAGTAAGTGAAAACAAATCTTAACAATAGAAATCTAGATATGTATGTATATGACTATATATCTAGAAGCGAGCTTAGGAAAGAAAGGGAAATTTGTAGACACAGTTGCGCTCCCCCCTCCTTCTCTCCTGCGATTCTATTAGCAGAATACAGATACAGATACAGATATAACTGAATCCAGAAAATCAGAAAATCAGAAAAGGGGTGCTAGTAGTTCAAAACAAAGTTCGTTTCAACGATATAACGATAGAAATATACAAGAGGTTATGTAAGAGGTCACATACATATCCATATCCATATATCTATCTATCTAGAAGCGAACTTGAGAAAAAGAAGGAAATTTGTATACCTACCTAGTACGTAATTCACGGTCCTCTCCTCCTTCACTTACAAATACACATATGCGTATACCTACATCACTCCTCACCATTCTTGTACTTGCTGATTGCTGCAATAATCAATTGAAGAACCAAAAGTCTATTTATCGCATACTCGATATCATGTCTTTTCTTTCTTGTTTATTCTTCTACTCTGATTCTGATTCTCATTCTCATTATATATCTTCCGATTCCTATTTCCATTTCCATTCCATCCCTCTCCTTCTCCTCCCCCTTCCACAACCCCCTCTAGTCAATATCCTCCGCCGAAGTTTCCACCGCCGGAGTCGAAGGCATTTCCCCCTTAGCCTTTGGGTAAAAATCCAACTTACCCCCTGGATTAATGACACCCGTTCGATCATACAAACTCTTAGCCCTAACATAAGGATCCAATTTCCAATAATCCTCTCTGAGCTCCGTTGCCAATTCCATCCTCCTAGTTTTAATTTCCGGTGTCTTTCCTTCTGAGTTGATCCACTCGAGTGTAGCTTTCTCATACGCATCCACGATATTTTCTCTTTCTTTCAGGAGTTTATCGCGGGTTACTGTATCTTTCATCAAGTCGTTTTCGCCGGGGACGGGCTCTACGAATTTGTATTCCCAGTTTTCCTCTCCGCCAAGTTCGGCGAGGATTTGAGAACGGGGAACGAATTCGGACATTTCTTCGACGTTGTTTGTGAATTGGACTTTGGAGGCGACGACGGGGTCGAGCCAGCCACGTATTATTTTCCAGATACCTGGGGGGAGTTAGTGAAAGGATTTTTGTAAAGAGGGAAATGGAAGCGTACCTTGGAAGACCCATGGTGCTCTGTGGACTAGGACTACGCCTAAGCTTTCAGGGTAATTGGCCTCGAAACATTTGATCATGAATTTGACAGGTCCATAATCCTATGATAAAATTAGTAAGTTTTTGTACGAAGGAAGTGGGAGGGGTTCACTTACCATATTTGCCAGAGAAAATCCAGTCATATCGAATACTACACACTATCATGTTGTCAGTACTTATTATACCGAGTAAACTCAACATGGAAAGAACATTCTTACAGCAGTATCTACTGGTGGTTCCAATAACATTCTAGCCGATTCTATAACGAAAACTGTGTATCTTTCCAAACTCTCTTCCGACTGCTCTCCTTGTTTGTGTAAGCGAGCTCTCACAAAGCACATTGGTCTTCCGGCTCTGTGAAAATTTGATATTAGCAATGATCTAAATATGTGTGTATCGATGAGGAGTGAGATGTTGTTCGAATTGATAAACAGATAGAAACCCCAGAATACTTACTTGTCTACACCATGTAGGAAACTCTTTCCCGAGCGCAATTGCATGAGGAATCCTTCTGCATGTCTCTTCTTTTCAGCATTAGTTGATTTCTCATCTTCAAGAGCAGCCAATTCTCCATTTTTCATGAGATCATCATCAACATGCATATCCGAAGCTCTCCATCTCATGGTAGAAATCATCATGACCAATGCCTTATCCACATCCCATTTTCTAGCTCTCAAGAACCTCAATAAAAGCGCATCTGGATGATCATATTTTACCATACTCCAGAATGTCGCACGAATGGAAGCCGGTGACAAGCTAGCCAAAGCATCGTGAAATTCCTTGGTTTGTCCATATTTATCATCCGCATCCGAAGCATTCGAGATACGCGAAGCAGCGCTTGTAGATTTTGGAGATGCGGTATCATCATCCTTATTTTTTCTGCGCAGAGCAGAGAATCTCTTCTTTTTAGGTTTCTCAGAAGCCGAGGTATCCGGTTTTGCAACACCATTGCTCACTTCCGAATCGCCACTGGTACCATTGGTATCTGCTTGAGGATCGAGTACGCCAAAGACTTGTAAGGTGGCAACCCAGAATTCTCGTAATTTCTCTTCTTCGTGTGCTGTCAATGTGCCAGGTCGACCTGGAAGTGTTTCGCCCGTCATTTTGAAGTATTCGTAATATTCTTGCTCGGGATCACTTTGTACCTGTTGTGGTTTGGGTGTATGTGTCTTTGGCTGACTGTATGTTGAAGTATAGAGAAATGCGCTGCTAATGAAGGTAAGGAGTAAGACGGTAGCCCAATTCCCTAAGCTGCTTTGCACAAGCGTTCGCAAAGATGTTTCACAAGAAGTATTGCGCTTTTCAAGGTAGTTGAGTGACGATGAGGATACGCTTCGACTATAGATAGAAGTTGGAGCGCTCGACCTTTTCCAAGCGGAGTTAGGAAGTAAAGTTGCGCGCTTTTCCGTATTCAATCCCTTGATCCTCAAAGTGTTTGAATGGATTTCAGAATAGTTGCGACGAAGGGGCGCAAATGATGGGATCCTACCAAAAGATTGAACAAGACCTCCGCGGTTGAGATTTCGACGTATTAATGTAGTAGGTATAGAGAATGAATACTGAGTATATTGATGCACAAAACCACCGGTTACTCCAGCTGGTATTTTCATGGAAAAAATGTATAGTCGAATATTTTCAATTCTTGAGTGAGAGTCAAGATGAAGGAGGGGTTGAGAGTTGGAAGTGAGGGGACTCGAGCCTTGATATATGGGCCTCTCGAGTCAAAGTCACTAGGAAACCAAACTTGTTATGAGGTCAAGTGATGGGCTTACTGTAGGTAGGTATACAACAATAAAACGAGGACCTCCCTAACGATATTATAAATGCTACGCAAATGAATCCTTTCTCCAATTCTTTTTAGTATCAAAACTCAGAGCTCCCGGTATCGTATAAGAAATTACAATACGCGGAAACAGCTTCTAAGCCGAAGAAGCCGCGGATCATGAGAAGTGCTTCAACCCAATTTCCTTTTATTGCATACCGGTTCATAAAAAGTTCGTCATTGTGCGGCGCTCTGTTCAAAATGTTGTTGTGTGTGCCAAAAGTCTCGTGCACGCGACATAAAATTGTAGGTGCGTGTAGTAGCAGGGTAAAAATGCATCTACTATGTAACACATCCGTAGAACCTTTAATGCAAGAATGATATCCAAGTTGAAAGGTTTCAGAAGACACCAACCCTGGATTGTATTATATGTTTGTTGTACAGATGCATACACAGGTATAGCATTGAATATCTAGCACCTCGGCGATAACTTTTGTTTGCGCACAACCACAACCACAACCACAACCACAACCACAACCACAACTACAACTACAACCACCATACCATCACAATCACAATCACAATGACCTCCACCACCCCCCTCAACGACGGCCACAGCAGCGTCAAAAGATCCCACTCCGCCTCTCGAAACCCTCTTTCTCGTCCCACCACGCCTCTCCGTCCCTCTTCCCGTTCTTCCCTTCGAGATTCTGCGAGGAAAAGCACAGGCGGTTATGCTAGCGCACCTTTAGAAGCATTTGAACCTGCGTTTGCGGAATTGTCTGATTCCATGGCAGATTTGGAAGCCAATTTTATGCATTTACAATTGATGCATGAAAGTTTGGCGAGGTTTAGTGAGAACTTTGCTAGTTTTCTTTATGGGTTGAATATGAATGCTTTTTGTGTGGATTTTCCTGAGGTTTGTTTACTTGGATTGGCTTACTATTTGGCATTGGTTGATTAGGTGACTAGGCGCCCATTCCAGATTCATTTCGTCGAGCACAAGAGCAGGAGGAGCAATTAGGTCAGTATAACATACCAATGGACATTGAAAAGGCTACTGATGGATGTGAAAAGGCAAATCAACAAATTCAGAAAGATTTCGTGGTGAAATTGATGGAGAAACAACATTTTTGTAAGCAACATTTCATTCGCTGCTATGATTCATGGCTGATTGATTTCTCTAGGACCACGGATACCTCCTTCGTTGATAATCCTCCCCCAACCTCCTCGAGAGGAACCCCGAAATTCACAACCCCAGCACCATCAAGAATAGCAGGCTCTTCTGGCCGAGGTGGATCTTCGGGTGGCTCTGGCTCATCTGGTAGAGGGATTCCCGTTCCGCGTGGTGGACGTGGCGGTAGAGCAAGTGGTCTTGCAAGAGGTCGAGGTCGGGGTGTAAGATGAGACGGAAATATACATTGAAAAGTTCCATCTCCACCATGATACCCCGCCATAGATTTTGTAGTAGCCACGATAAACTAAGCTTTGATAACCCCCCTCTATGATGACTCCATGTCGAGGGACAATGATATTTGCGCTCAAGTTTCCTGGTCGTCGATAATTCCGGAGTTTTCCATCTCTACCTCCACATCTAGAGCTGTATTTCTCTTGCCATTATCTGCAGGTCCTTGGCCAATAGCTGCCTCAGCATCTCTTTGTGTATATGGTCCTTCCTTCAATGCCTTGAGTCTATAATATCAAATTAATATCTTGCTATCCGAACTTTTTCCCGTCATGGCAGAACCTACCTTCTCTTGTGAGGTTTGCCCTTAAGATGCGAGAGCATACTATTCTCCGATTCATACCATTTTGCGCACTCGATGCAATACCATTTTCCTAAGCCTGGCAAATCCTCTGCAGATTTTGAACCTTTATATTGCGCAAGATGTTTGGGCGAACGAATATCGGCCGAAATTTGATCGAGATCTCTGTTGTGAGAAAGATTAGTTTTGCGCACCAATATTTTTGCAATAACTAACCATTGAAAATTGAAAATGGAACTTACCTCAATCTTCTTCTGGTCTTGGTCTTTGTTGATTTTTGAGGGATACCCATTTTGATGCAATAATATCGTGATATCGTGATATCTTATTTCATCGACTTGATTGGAGATATACTGCAAATGGAAATCTCGATGTACGAAGTACGGACAATGGGTTGACAGACGCAAACTCCGTAATGTTGAATTACTAAAAAATTTGCTCTAGGCTTTGATTGATTGTTTTTGGGAAATTACGGGGAAACTTTTACCCATCCCACTTGTCGGGGGGGTCCACTTTTGAGAACCAATCCAATCCAACATGATGCATCTGTCCGAGGTTTCACGGTTGCGGAGTAGATCGGGAAGAGAGACTGCGGAAGTTTCGAACGGTTTTGGCAAGCTCCGCTCTATCGGTCCCGGCGGAAGTACCATTTTGTCCTAAATTCCTAATGGCATCGAGATTGGTTTCTTATATGCGTTGGGTACGATTATACGAGTGACGACGGAAAGTCTCCAAGACTCCAAGTATTTACCTCATTCATGATTTGAAGATACTATAACTTGGCTGAAATATCTAAGCTGTCTGGCTGAAATGTCTAAGCTTTCTGACTGAGCATGTCAGATGTTATCAAGTCGAGACGATGGATGAAAGTATGTGATGTATACATAGTAAGTGATATATACCTCCTGCTACTGTAATCACAATCATCAATATCACAAGAATCCCCAGCTTTCCCAGCTTTCCCAGAACCTGTATTCACAGCACATGATCGGAGGAATCGTCCGTCTTCGCATCACACCGGACCCGTTAGACGGACAAGAATGGTGAAACCAGATTCACCAGCAAACGAGCATGCGGGCAGTGAAATGTGATTGGTGATCCCACGGAACAGATGATCCACTTATCGACCTGCAGACGTATGAAAAATTCGCATTGGAAATATAGCCGCAAACAAAGGACTTCATTGCCGCTTCAATTTCACACCACCTGCAGCCCTTGACGAGGGGGAAGAGAGGAAATGAGAGGGACAACCGCAGAGTAACACAAAGTCCGTCGAGTAGAAAATTAGAATTCGATGTAAAATCGGTTCTCTCCGAGTTGTGATGCTCTGGATATGTTCTTAATATGATTGTTTTCATTCAATCTTTTCATTCATAAAATATAATAAAATATAATAAAATATAATAAAATAAAATATAATAAAAATATATAAAAATACATATATATTTATCATATTATATCATAAATCACATTAATCATCTAACTATCTTCTCATGTTAATTAATCTCCCTATTTATATTTATATTCAATTGAACAAAACTTAACACAGATGACATCTTGGTGCATTCAATTCCTGTCTCGCCTTAATCCCCGTTTTATAAAAAAATCATAATACCTCATCTCTGATTGGTCCACTCCCTCTGGTCAAAGCTTGAAGATAACCCGCGGCCCCAAGCTTCGGTTGTCCAAGTTTCTTCCTCCCACTATTTTACAACTTCGAGTTGCATAATAATCTTTCCATCCTACAACCTTCCTCCCTCCCCTCCTCTTTCACCTTACCAACTTCTCTCATAATGTTGGCAACAAGACAGCTTCTCGCTGCTGCCCAGCGGCGAGCATTCACCGGCATGGGCATTCGCACAATGGCCACTGTTGGTGATTCCCCGCTTGATAAACAAGTCAGACAAAATATCCACGAAAAGAGCAACTTCATCAATTATAAGAAGATGTCCGAGAACCTCTCAATCGTTCGTCAAAGACTAAACCGTCCTCTGGCCTACGCCGAGAAGATTCTCTACTCACATTTGGATGATCCTCACGGTCAAGAAATTGAGCGTGGTGTATCATACCTCAAACTCAGACCCGACAGAGTTGCGTGTCAAGATGCCACGGCTCAAATGGCTATCTTGCAGTTCATGTCCGCTGGCATGCCTTCCGTCGCAAACCCTACCACCGTCCACTGTGATCATTTGATTGAGGCACAAGTTGGAGGTGCTAAGGATCTTACCCGGGCTATTGATATCAACAAGGAAGTTTACGACTTCCTTTCTACTTCTTGCGCAAAATACAATATTGGTTTCTGGAAGCCAGGTTCTGGTATCATTCATCAAATTCTCCTCGAGAACTACGCTTTCCCAGGTGGTCTACTCATCGGTACCGATTCCCACACACCAAATGCTGGTGGTCTCGGAATGTGCGCTATTGGTGTTGGTGGAGCTGATGCTGTCGATGTTATGGCCAACCTTCCTTGGGAGTTGAAGGCACCAAAGGTTATTGGTGTTAAGCTTACTGGTCAGCTCTCCGGCTGGGCTACTCCAAAGGATATTATCCTTAAGGTTGCTGGTATCTTGACTGTCAAGGGTGGAACTGGTGCTATTGTCGAATATTTCGGTCCAGGTACTGAGACTATCTCCGCTACTGGTATGGGTACGATCTGTAACATGGTATGTTTGTCTCCTTATCTCCTACTTTCACATGTATTCATTTTCTCAACATCTTTCAAATATCCACATGTCATCTTTCTAGCTTGTCACTAACTATAGTCACAGGGTGCTGAAATTGGTGCAACCACTTCTCTCTTCCCATTCAACGACCGTATGTACGATTACCTCGCTGCTACCAAGCGTACCGAAATTGGAGACTTTGCTCGCACATACGCCAAGGAACTCAGAGAGGACGAAGGTGCACAATACGATCAATTGATTGAGATCAACCTTTCTGAGCTCGAGCCACACATCAACGGACCATTCACTCCAGATCTTGCTACTCCAATCTCCAAGTTCAGTGAGGCCGTCAAGGCTAACAACTGGCCTGAGGAATTGAAGGTCGGACTTATTGGTTCCTGCACAAACTCCTCTTACGAGGATATGTCTCGTGCTGCGTCTATCGCTGAAGATGCCATGGCTCATGGTGTTAAGGCAAAGGCTCTCTTCACTGTTACTCCTGGTTCCGAACAAATTCGTGCTACTATTGAGCGTGATGGTCAATTGAAGACCTTCGAGGTTAGTAACTTTGTACACAGAACCATTTATAACAACATGCTAACTATTTCATCAGGACTTCGGAGGTATGGTTTTGGCTAACGCATGTGGTCCATGTATCGGTTAGTACCCCTTTTTCCCTCCCCCTGTTTCACCTAAACGATCCGACCATTCAATTCTCAACCACAATTTGGACTTTGAAATGCTTTGCAGAGAGTGTGATTGGCAATTTTTACTTCAAGTGGCTTTTTCAATTGTCAAAGTTGACTGGTGCATTTGAAATGTTATCAATTGTTGAGATTGGTTCGGACCTTGAAATACTTTTTGAGGGAAATCCTTCCAGATCTATTTCACTTCGCTTTTACTTACCCCCTCTCTCCTCCAACGTTACTGACACCATTTTTCAGGGCAATGGGATAGACGTGACGTGAAGCGTGGAGTTGCTAATTCCATTATATCGTCCTACAACCGTAACTTCACTGGACGTAACGATGCCAACCCAGCTACTCACTCCTTCGTCGCATCCCCAGATCTCGTAGTCGCTATGACTATTGCTGGTTCCCTCCACTTCAACCCTCTTACCGATACCTTGAAGGGTAAGGATGGAAAGGAATTCATGTTGTCCCCACCTACTGGTGATGGATTGCCATCAAGAGGATATGACCCAGGACAAGATACCTACCAAGCACCACCCGCCGAGCGTGCCTCAGTCAATGTTGCCGTTTCCCCAACCAGTGACCGTCTTCAACTCCTCGAGCCATTCAACGCATGGGATGGAAAGGATGCTTTGGATATGCCAATCTTGATCAAGGCTAAGGGAAAGACTACTACCGATCACATCTCTATGGCTGGTCCTTGGCTCAAGTACCGTGGACATTTGGACAACATCTCCAACAACATGTTGATTGGTGCCATTAACAGTGCCAACGGTGAGGCCAACAAGGTCAAGAACTTCACCACCGGTGAATTTGATGCCGTCCCAGCTACTGCTAGAGATTACAAGAAGAAGGGTATCCGATGGGTTGTTATCGGTGACTGGAACTACGGTGAGGGAAGTTCAAGAGAACACGCTGCTCTTGAGCCAAGACATCTTGGAGGTCTTGCCATCATCACCAAATCTTTCGCCCGTATCCACGAGACCAACTTGAAGAAGCAAGGAATGCTTCCTTTGACTTTCATCAACCCAGATGACTATGATAAGATCGATCCATATGACAAGGTATGAAGCCTCAACAAATATCCTATAATTAATTGCCAAGCTAACTATTATTCTCTTTAGGTCGACCTTTTGTGCACTGAGATCGCTGTTGGTAAGCCAATGACCCTCAGAGTTCACCCTAAATCCGGCGAGTCATTCGACATCAAGCTTGCACACACTTTCAACGCTCCACAAATTGAATGGTTTAAGAACGGAAGCGCTCTGAACACAATGGCAAAAATGAATGCATAAATTATTTAAAATACATTGGGTGCGATTGTGGTGTTGGGCGGTGGTTTACGAGAACTAAATTTTTCTGGGCTTTCGGAGCTAATGGGTTGCTCTGGTCTGCTACTGTATTTTGTTCACCATAGTGGACCACTTTTTTAGTTTCTGCTTTTACAGTTTATACTCGTACATTAGGCCTTTTTTATGTTAAAATGTATGAAATTTCCCAGATGGGAAAATGCTATGATAATTAACGTTTTGTGCTATGGATTTATATGAGTGGTTGTGTGAGATTAAAGAAATTGGTGCCCTTTGAATGTCTGAGTCTGTGAGAAGAATATGAGACGCTGACATGGCTAAGTTAGCCGTGTATAATCAATGAACGCCGTATGCTGAAAATGCATTCTCTGTCTTTAGATGGGTAGATAGATATTGAACCTCTGCCACAGTGGCTTCAGTCGTGCTTTCACTGCTGGTCAGTCTTTGAACTACTTCTCAATGCTTGTTACCTCATCTCATCTCTGATCTATGGAGCGTTTATAATCCTAAGTCTACATACATACCTCCCTAGTTTCCATCACACAGTGCAAGCGAGATTTACCATGGCATGGGCGTATGACATCGTCGGTGCACCTGTCTGTGAGGAAATTGATATGTGTTGGGTGGAACAGATAGAGAGGTTGGGGAGAGATTTTGGGAGGGGAAGATGATGGGGTATTTTTGGTGGTATGTGAGTAAGTGGAGAGGTTTTGTGATGTGTGATGTGGTGTTGTGGTGCTGTAGTGGTGATAGATATTTTGGGTTGGTGGGTTGGGATTTGGGGTTTGGGATTTAGAAAAGATCGCCCAAGATGCGATATTGGAGATCATGACTTGTCTGTCAATGTCATATTAAGTGTACTGAGTGAGCTTTTGGGGGAGAGGGGGAGTTGATATGGATCCTGTCTCCTTTTTGTTGATTCGCTTATTTTTATTTTGCGCGATGTTGCTGTCATCGCTATTATGGGGGAGCGGGCTGTGTTGTTTGTTTGTTTCTTTGTTGTTGCGTTTGTGTGTTATGTGGGCGTTAGACTGTCGGGTGCGGGCTTGGTGGTAGGAGGTAGAGGGTAGGGGGGGGGGGGGGGGGTGAATGGATGGATGTGTAGGATGTGTTGGTATTGGTATTGGTATTGCTATCGATAGTGAGGAGTGGTTTGATGTTGCCAGCATTTTGAGACATGGTCTTGGAATGGATAACTGTAGTTCTTGGAATGGGAATTGAGATGAGGGTATGAGGTTTGAGAGTATGAGGTTTGGGTGTTTGAGCATCGTGATTAGCAGTATGATGGGTGTCGGGTGTGAAGAACATGATTTTATAGAAAAGTGATATATACATAGATTTATGATTAAATTGGGTTTTGAATGGAGATAGACTGTAGTCACTGGTCTTGTTGATTGTAGGGTATAGATTTCGCAACTTTGTGTATCCAGCCATCCCCCCTCAATTATAAATCCAAAAGATCTTTCGTTCAACTTGAGTATTTCTTCAACTCGCAACCGTGATCGCTGCTCTGCTCTATTGTATGGAATGATAGACTTCGGAAACCTTTCTCTCGATCTATCTACTTATTCCTAGCTGTGTAAAAATCAGATGCATCCCGTGGTTCAAATTCGGTATGGTTAAACCTCGTCGATGAGCGCTGTATACAATTTAGTGTGTATCTTGATGGTGTATGTAGTAGTCGAGGCTCTTCTGTGACCCGGTCAGTATGAAGTCAAAACTGAAGATTGGATTTTGGGTTTTTGTAGTGACGAGCTTTGCAGCTAGGCCAGAGTTTACTCGATTGAAAGTCCTAAAGGTAGAATAGCTTTCGTGATTAAGCAAATCTGCATGGAATACATCTATCATCTTCTCATAGATATTGATATTTCCAGACACCGAACCCAAGGGTTATCCCTCTCCTTTGCCATAACCGCCTGCTATATGAACCCTTCTCGTTTTGTGTTCTATATCCCATTCCAACTTATTGTACGCCTAGAAACAAAAGTTCTCTAGGCCCTACTCTGTTATATCACTACCCCATTGATCGGGATTGACATGAGCGCTCTTGTGGTTCAGCTTTTTGAGCTGCTTGTTTCCATAATATCTATGAAGGGGTATAATAACTGAGGGTTAAGAATATGAAGATGGCCGTTGTCGACGAGCAGGTGATTTGCAATTCATATTGGGGGTCTAATTGCTTTGCTTCGCGGTATTCACGACTGTGGGCCTATATTTCCTCTGATCAGTAGAGATTAGACTGTATCAGATGGAGAGAAGTGGGGGGGAGTGGCGTGAGGAAAGTGTGGTTGTTTGATAGATGCGATTTTGTGAACAAATTTCATGATTTCTTGATTAGTATTTCTATTACTTGGGTTTTAAAGACTGGATCTGATGATGGATTTACTGGATTTATTGAAGATGTCTAGTATGGAGGGGACTTCAGAGAGCATAGTTGACTGCAACGATCGTATTCTGCGGTGCGTACTTCAACAATAGTACTGGGTATTGTAGAGTAGACTCATTGCTATACCATGAAATATAGATTCTTTGGGGGCCTGGCCTGGATCGAAATTTCTCAAGACTCATGCGCTGTAATCCTCAGAGGTCTTTGGGTTTGTTGCTGACCTTTGGAGGTGACCAGACGTTCATTAATACGATTGAGGCATCGATGGATCTATTTATGTTCAGATGCCCTGGTTCTCGGAAGAATGAGAAATTCAAGCGTATTAATTGAAGCATCTGGTGCAAGAGGTGATCTTGTTTCAGCTGGCGAGTACGTAGAAGAAGGGGTATGTATATATATAGACACTAACGTCAAGCCTTGTTCTGCGCAGTTTTGCCAAAACGGTATTCAACCAAGTCTAATGCATATCCCGAACGACTTAGGAAGGGTTACCGAGTACAAATAGACAACACTCCCGGTGAGCTCATGCTTGAGCATCCAAAGCTCACCGGGGAACAAACCAATCTTACAATGAACATTTGAACATTTGAAATGACTTTGAATTGCGATAAATATCTGGGCCAGTACAGTATCAAAAACTGCCCAAACCAACCAAGCAAGACCACTGGCACTTCCAGGTTCATTCATCATAATTGAAGACTTCTTCAAAGTAGGCTCTTTCTAATGGAAATCCGTTCGCTTGGTGTATGAATTTCTTTAAGCCTTGTCCTTACCCTGCATACCCTAAAGGAATACGTCAAGCTTATAATAGTGATCAAGATTGGGAAGATTCCCCTGAGAAAATTGCATGAAAAGTAGTAACATGACTCTTTGAGTGTTTACTGCGTAAGAAGCATTCAGTCCTTTGGTTGTTAAAAGTCCATGCTCTGACAAGGCGCGTGGAAGCTCAGCCTCGCGGTAAGGTTAGCGAAAAGTACAAGACAATTTCGAAAGATGCTGGATTTCTCAACATAACACTCAGCGCATCGATTCTCGAACGATGCTGCAAGGCCCTTTTAAGCTTTCAAGAAGTGATACCTAAGTCGTTGAATATTCAAAATCTGCCATAAATCTTTCCCAAAGGCGACACAACCGGAATCCCGCAAAATCCACGATGGCGATTACTTTACCCCAATTTGGCGCAACTCGTCTACGATCATACATCCTCCGTTTACCTTTATTCACGAGATGTATAATAGCAATCATATTCATATTATGGCTTGTCAGTCTGCAGTCAGCTTGGGACCTTCAGAAATGGGGTGGCTTGTATCCGAATGAGATTGGGTTACAGTCGAGTAAATCTACCGTCTCAATACAGCACGCAAACGATTCCCATCGACCGTAAAGCTAACATGGCGTTATTACTATAGTGTATCGCACAAATACCTTCCCATTGATACATATGGGGTTTCTACATATGATAATGAACACCATTGCTCTAACACCATTGCTGGAGAGGTTTGAGGCGGAATATGGGACATTGACTACGTTGGCATTATTCATGGGCCGTAAGTATCCCTCGATGCAATGGATGCGAGAGAACCAGAGCTAATGGATATTATAGCTCTGTCGACGATTCCTGCATTAATATATACATTCGTGGAAAGGGGAATCTTCCACATGAACACAGGAGTGATGGGTGCCAGGTGAGAAAATACCCTTTCTTTTCAGCTCAGAAAGTCTTGCTAACGAAGAATATAGCATTTGGGTTTTTACTCTACTTGCAATGGAAGCGATCAAGACATATAAAACAAATCCAAACTTTGTATTGGGAACAGTACACATTCCAACATGGACCACACCAATTATCCTTACACTATTCATATCATTCTTGGTACCGCATACTAGCTTCCTTGGGCATCTTTGCGGGCTTCTTTTTGGTTACGGATGTTAGTGCTCTTCTATCTTATGGTTCGGTCCGCTAGCTAACTTTTATAGGGGGCCTGGGCTATCTCAAATTCTTAGCTCCACCAGAGAAGATTCTTAGATGGATTGAGGGCAAAATGAATCTCTTAGGACGATTACCACATTACGTTTCGGTTGACCAAAAAACCTTTGGAAGATATGGACTGTTACCTACTACCAACAATCCTATTATTTCACCGGAAACAAATATTGCGCTAGGATTTCCTGGCCAGGCACAGCGATTGGGACCTTAGAAGATTGTACTTATCAGTTAAGGATTTCCCTTCTCTCTGTATAAAGACTACGCATAATACGGAGTTTGGATGTTCTGGGAGCGATCATGTTTTGAAGTAAAAACGGTGGAAATGGCATATGACACACGGCTTCGGGTTCTACTTTAACATCTGTGGTAGACAAACCACTGGTAGCTTAAGGAAGTATGGATAAATTTATAATTGTAAGCTTTTTAATGACAACTACATAACTAGATAAAGCTATTTGATCTCCGCCAGATTGCGGCTACCTTTATTCATCTGGCACAGAATTGGTGTGAACTACAATGAATAAAAGTAGCTTAATCGCCTTGTGCTATTGTGAACATCCAAATATGGGAAATCCAAGATCTGTCGCGTAGGCTCCTGATCTCGCGTCTTCGGAACCTCGCCTCAATTCCGTGCATTTTGACAAGGCTGACAACCCACCCAAGCTTCAAGCTCCCATGTGAGCGAAACCAACCCTCTCGATTTTGTGAAAACTTCTTCTAGCCATGGGGCTACTATGTAAGTATTCCAGTTGATTGTGACCAATTATTCTAACAGTAAAAAGCATCTACCGTCTTGCGACATGCGCCGGTTCGAAAATTACCACCATATCTATCCTTTCTTTGCATAGCCATTGGTGTTGCATGGCTGTTACTTCTGCCATTAAATGATTACTCGAGGAATACTTATGTTTCGGAGAACGCACTGTTGCCAGGCCAGGTCCATACTTATTTTGCGGGAAGCGATCAGAATATTTATCGTGGATACAAGAGGGAGGTTGATGCTTTGGGGGAGAGCAGTAATGTTGAGTATGTGCGAAAGCGTGGAAGAGATTGGAGAATATAGCTGACTTTGCTATGCAGAGTTAATGACAAACTTGAGGAGTTTTTCAAGGCTACAGGACTCAAGGTTGGCAGACAAAAGTATGAATATAAATCCGCGGGTGAAGTTTACAGAGGAGAGAATGTGTATGCGATCTTACACGCACCACGAGGTGATGCCACAGAAGCAATTGTGTTGGTAGGGGCTTGGAGAAATATTGATGGGGAGTTGAATCGCAGTGGTGTTGCTTTGGTTCTGACACTGGCGAGATATTTCAACCGGTGGTCTTTGTGGTCAAAGGATATTATATTCCTGATTACAGCAGATAGTAAAGCTGGTCCTCAGGCTTGGGTTGATGCCTATCACGATACACATGAGTCTCCTGCTATTGATTCATTGCCCGTCAAAAGTGGAGCTCTTCAAGGAGCTGTTGTCATCGACTATCCCTTTGATCACCGCTTTGAATCGATTCATATTGTCTACGATGGAATTAATGGACAACTTCCTAATCTTGATCTCTTCAACACCGTAGTCTCAATTGCTAGCGGTCAAATGGGCATCAGAGTCTCGCTCCAGAAAATGTGGGAGCACAGCGATAGCTACCAAGATCGACTCAAGACTATGTTACGTGGTATGATGAATCAAGGATTAGGTCATGCCTCTGGACCTCATAGTAGTTTTATTCCATACCATGTGGATGCGATCACACTTCAACCGTTTGGAAACGGTTGGCAAGATGAAATGGCCATGGGTAGAGTAATCGAAAGTACTTTTCGAAGTTTAAATAACTTGTTGGAACATCTCCATCAAAGTTTCTTCTTCTATCTACTCATGCAAGCTAATCGCTTCGTGAGCATCGGTACATATCTCCCAAGTGCCATGTTAGTGGCTACAAATTTCACTATTATGGCAATTTTCCTATGGGTGAAGAGTGGCTGGCCCAGTCCCACCAAGAAAGAATCTGTGCTGTCGACGGAAAAAGGAGAGGAGAAGGAGAAAGCTCCATTGGTGATTGTGGAAGCCAGCGGATCGAAAGCCCTTATACCAAAAAAGGATCTTCAAACACGCGAGCGCAAGCTTGCACTTCCTCTCGCTATTGTAGCTGGATGTCAGTTCTTGGGGCTTGTTCCTCTTTATATCTTCAACCATACTTCTAAAGCCGTATGTCTCTCTCAAAATATAAACCGAAAAAGAAAACCGAAGCTAACATATGATTCAGAATCTCCCCGTAGTCTTCTTCATCTTCCTAATCCTCAACACCTTCCTCCCCCTAGCCCTCTCCACCCTCCTTCACTCCCCCTACTGCACAACCCCTACCCCCAACCAACTATCTCTCATCCAATCCTTCTCTCTCCTTCTCCTGGGAATGTACCTCTCATCCCTCGCTACTCTTAATTTCTCTCTCTCAATCCTCATCGGTATCCTATCTTCCCCCTTGTCATATATTCGTCCACTGGGTCATAGACCCATTATCGCTGCTATACTCGTTATTCTGTTGGGTGTTCTTGCGCCTTCAACTGTATTGCTCGCTGGTGCGACATATTGGGGTTTGGATGTGGGAGACGTTTTGGTTGAAGCGGCATTTGGATGGGATGTTGGAGGTATGACGACACAGGTTGTGGTTTGGTGTGTTTGGTGGCCTGCGTGGGTCGTGGGTGGGATGCTGCTTTGGGGAAAGCCCAGAGCGGAGGAAGAGATGGAGAATTTGGATAAGGTTGCGAATGGGATAGAAGGGAAAGTGGAAGTAGCCAATGGAGCGGAAAAGAAATAAGTTGGCTTGTTGATTGCACAATTTCTAGATAGAATGGATACAGCCATGCATAACCATCAGTAAACATGCAATTATAAAACATAAGGGTATTGTTCTCATATATCATTTCATTCTTTCGCAATGCAAATACAACTAACCCCAGGCATGCATGCAAGAGGGGGAATATCTATTTTACAGTCCGATGTGAAGCCTAAGACGCCATTCTTGCCTTTTTCATTCACGATTTTGATGCTAAACCTCATGCTGCCCACACGTCCTGACCCTTTGACTCGATCCAGTTGCCCAGTGAGTTGACACTGGAATCCCATTCCTCTAGTCGTGTACGCATACCCTCGATTTGACCCATGTCCAACACCTTAGGCTGTACCCAGTTGATACGTGCGATTTCATCAACTTGATCAATGCTTCCTCGCAACAACCCCAAACTTAAGGCCTTCATAATTAAATGCTCAATTTCGTCCGGGCGAACTTTAGTTTCCTCGGAGATTGTGCGGAAGGTCATGGCACGGTCGTGAGGAGGGCGGCGGAAAACGGCTTCGGTGAGGGCAGCGAGGTAAATCTTTTGTTTGAGTCCGTCGCGGTGTTGTGCAAGTAGTGGGTTAGAGGAAATATGACCGGAGAGAACATCGTAGGCAGCGAGGTCACCACGGTTGAAAGCGAAAAGAAGATCTCGGAGCCAGGCGTCGTCCTTAACGAGGGTATCGAGGATGGGGTGGAGGAGGAGTTCACCAAAGTTATAGATAGTATCGGATACGAGAGCTGCGATGCTTAAATCGTAGGCTCGGCTTTTGCGCTCAGATGGGGTGAGGTCGTTAAGGTCGATACAAGCTAGGTATAGCAGGGCGTTTTTGTAATATGATGCGAATTCCAATTTGGATTGATAGTACTCTGCATTGACCCGGTAGAATGCAGCATGTACGATCGTTTCCACAGAGTCAAACCCATCTAATATCTTCTCTGATTTATCCAAATATTTTCTCGCCCCATCCTGATCTTGTAATTCTAATTTGACGGTGGCTACAGCCACTGTTGCGTAGACGTATGCATCTTGGGAATTGGGATTATCGACTTTCTTTGCTACTGCCTCTAGGAAGGACAGGCGCTCTGAACCATCTAGTATTGAGTTAGCAGTTGTTTTAGTCTCTTCAATAGTGTTTAATTACCTTTACACTGTGAAGCAGCGCTTAAAGCAAGAGTAACAAGCTTCAACTGATTGATCTTATCGGCGAATGTGAGGATGAATGTCTTATATATTGGTAATCGTTGGGAAGCGCTTTCTTTGTGATTGAAAAACTCAACGAGAGTATCTGACAGTTGATGCCACAGCTTTTTCTCCCAGAGATCTTCGAAGGATAGGAAAAGGTGTTGAAGGTCTGCTGGCGCAGCATCACGTTGCTCTCCGAGAAAGTCGGGGATTGTGTCGACATTCATGATGATTGAATGAGAGGTAGATTGAATTATAATTGATTTTGTCCGGATGCCCTGTATCCACTTATACGCCGTTTAAAATAAATAAAAGTCGGATTCTTTGGGTATCTTTTTGTATTTGTAAATGTTAGAAATTGAAGCTGTTTGGTTGGGGTTTTGATATTAAGGCGAGGCAACGAGAGAGCTGCGCAAGGTCGGATCTAACCGTATTTAAACTAGTGTACTCCACGGCTGGACTCCCGCGAGGTCAATCTACAACTTCAACATCAAGTCAAATCGAACCCTGCCAACTGCCTTTGCGTCTGCGATTCAATTGATTTGTACCCCAGTCGCAAAAATGCAGAAATCCTGCAGTCCATCGACTCTTAACAGTCTGCGGACTGCTGTACGATCGAAAAGAGGAATTGAAAATGTACCTTTGAGCAGGAAGTTATCCGATATCACTATCACAAGGACCGGAAAGCCCATTATTCGTACCCAGGGTGGCAGGTAAGTACTCTGAGATTGGTTCTGCACTTCTATAGACCTTCTTGCTAATGTGTTGTACTACAGATCATCTCTCGGAGGTATATCTGCTCCCAAAATAGCAAATCCACAATCAACATAAGCCTAATTTGATACTGTAGGGCATACCGCAACCGTTTTCGGTGCGACTGGATTCCTCGGACGTTATATCGTGAATAGACTTGGTACGCGAATCTTTGTTTATAATGGAAGGAACTTGGGCTGATGTGAGGGTGGTTTAGCAAGACAAGGATGCACAGTCATTGTCCCTTTCCGGGAGGAAATGGCCAAACGACATTTGAAGGTTTCCGGTGATTTGGGTAGAGTCATTTTTATGGTATGGCAGAAAATCTGTGGACAGTGTTTGGGTCACTTTGACTTACTTCGGGTTAGGAATACGATTTGAGAAACACACAATCTTTGGAGGAGAGTGTTAGGCACTCTGACGTTGTGTACAATCTTGTTGGACGCAACTATCCCACTAAGTATGTTCCAAAGAAGATCATCTAGAGAAAAGTACTCACTAGTATCAGAAACTTCGATCTCGAGGATGTACATGTTGAAGGAGCGGAGCGAATTGCCGATGCTGTTGCCAAATACGACGTGGATAGATTCATCCATGTTTCTTCCTACAACGCAGACCCTAATTCACCCTCTGAGTTCTATAGAACCAAGGTATATAACCCAGCTCTTTCAAACATTGCTTCATATGATTGACAAGCATCTTTATTAGGCAAGAGGCGAGGAAGTTGTACGCAGTGTATTCCCAGAAACTACAATCGTGAGACCTGCTCCATTGTTTGGTTTTGAGGATCGTCTTCTCCACAAGCTTGCTGGATTTACCAACGTCCTCACATCCAATCACATGCAAGAGCGCTACTGGCCAGTTCACGTATGTCTTAAATTCCTATAATTGCAAGACTTCCTATTGACGACTCTTCAGGCACCCGATGTAGGCCAAGCACTTGAGAAAATGCTTCAAGATGATAGTACTGCATCGCAAACGTATGAGCTTTATGGCCCCAAGAATTACTCAACAGCAGAAATTGCTGCTTTGGTAGATAAAGAAATCAATAACCATCGTCGACACATCAATTTACCAAAGAAAATCCTTAAGCCAGTCGCTGGGATTTTGAACAAAGCTCTCTGGTGGCCTGTCATCTCTGCTGATGAGGTTGAGCGAGAATTCATTGATCAAAAGATCGATCCTTCCGCAAAAACATTCCAAGACCTTGGAATCGAGCCAGCGGAGCTTAGTAGTCTTACTTTCCATTACCTGGTATGCATGACCTTTTACCAAAGCTTCGAGCCAGCAATGCTAATTTCAAATAGTTGGGATATCGAAGTGCAGCATTCTACGACTTACCACCATCGACAGAACGCGAGAAGAGGGAAGAGAAGAAATATCTGCATGTTCTTGATGACCAGTAGAAGGCTGGTTCTGAATATGAAATGTATTCATAATAGCATGCGAATTGTACATATGCCTAAATATTTGAGAACCTTTCTTGTTGTGTGTGATATTCCAATTATAAACAAACCATCAGTCAATGATGATACTTTTGCTTTAAAATTAGACGACATAAGAACACCCCTTTTGATAGACCTAACAAATTTCGCATATCAGTAATTTTTTATCAACTTATTTGAGCCAAATTCAAGATCTCAATCCTGCCCCACATTTTTACCCCTCCAAACCCCGTCCGCAATCTTCCACCATCACGTTTCTTGAAAATAATATCAAATATCAGTCATGGAGAACATAGAAGATGATGATATGCCGTGAGCTTCCTGCTACTGACAAACACTCGAAAGGTTACTAATGTTATGGAACAGCGTTTTGTCGGGCTCTGCGCTTGATGCCTTGAAAGAGTTTTACAAAGACCGAGATGCGCATCAACAGAAATTTGAAGACTTGAAGCAGCGGGCTGAAGATCAGGCTGATGGCGTGCCTTTGACTATGGATGCTTTCGCTGAGGATTGGAATGAATCGCAATTTTGGGTCGGTTTTTCTTGGATCTGATTCAGGAGTTTTGGACGCTTATAAGTGGTAGTATTCCAATGAGACAGCCACAATCCTCGCGCAGGAACTCCTGAGAGATGCTGTTGCTGATACGGTTATTGCTGTTGTATCGGCTCCAAGTGTGTTCATACAGTTGAAAAACATTGTTGTAAGTCGAGTTTGTAGTAGAGGGACACATGTGATCATGAAGTTAACATCTGGAAGGCAGGGTGGGCAGCGGACAAAAGGCCGACGCTTCATTTATTGGAGTTTGATGAGAGGTTTGGCGTGTTTCCGGAGTTCAGCTTCTATGACTTCAATAACCCGTTAAAGCTTCCTTGTAAGTTTCATAGTACCTGGCGATAATGGAGCTGGAACTATTTCTAACGTTAGTCCTGTAGCGCATTTGAAAAGATGTGCCGATCGTGTTATTTGTGACCCGCCATTTTTGAGCGAAGAGTGTCAAACTAAAGGTACACAGTCACTCAGCTTCTGGTTAGGATAGTTGAGATATGACACTGACTTCTCTAGCATCTCTGACTGTTCGATGGCTGTCGAAATCATGGGGTCAGAACGAATCGTTGATGTCGTGGGGACAAGAAGAAGCGCCGCCATCGAAGCTTATCGTCTGTACAGGTGAGAGGGTAGGAGATGTTGTGAATAAGCTTTATCGACCGTGAGTCGTATCCGTTCTTTTGCTAGTGGCATGTTAGCTCACATAAAACAGACAAGGTATTGCAACTACGACTTTCCTTCCGGTGCACGCAAAGGGGTTGAGCAATGAGTTCTTTTGCTTCGCTAATTTTGAATGCGAACATTGGAGGTGGAGAAAGTCAGATGAAGAGAAATAGTGTATTCATAAACTAAAGGGTATCTATTATCCATCATAAAAGAATCAAATACATATCAAAGAGCGGCTCGCGCCTTTAACTTCCACCTATCTTGCTCCTTGGCCACTCTGTCATCCGAGTGCAACTTATTCAGAATCTGAACAATGCCACCATTCGCCGGTATATGAAGGTTCTCCGGTACATTCTTATATATTATCTTCACAATCTCCATCGAGGTCCACTCGTCCGCTTCCTCATCACTGGCAACAGTGACTCCGGGTTTGTTCTTTGCGGACTTCAGCACTTGGATAACCTGAGACTCTCTTTCTTTTCGGTGCCTGATGTACTCTCCAATTCTACTAGGCCCATCTTCTAACACAGCTCCATGTCCTGGATATGCTTTACCGCTAAACAGTCCTCTCATCTTCTCAAGGCTGCTCAAGTAAGTTACCAAGTCCTCAAACACTGCGGTTCCGTGCCCCAACACGTTGTCCCCTGTGAACATGACATTCTCTTCTTCCAGTACCAGTGCCACATGATCGTGTGTATGGCCTGGAGAATGAACTGCACGGAGAGTTGCACCCTCTGTTGCGAAGATCTGGCCATCCCTGATATCTGTTTGTCCCTCGTCTGGACTGTTCTTGTGGATTATGGTTTTTGGCGAGTATTGTAATAAGTGGGCGACTCCTCCTACATGGTCAGGATGCCTAAATTTCCGAATTAGTAACTGCAGATACAGTCTATAAAGTGAACAAATTCCTACCAATGTGTGAGAATACACGAATTAACCGTCGCCTGTTCTTTCTCCAAAGTCTTTTTCAGATTCTGAATCCAACTTTCCTTCCCGTCGCCCGTATCAATTAGCAATCGGTCTCTTCCTTTTCCAACAAGATACGTATTCGTCCCTACAACCTCGTCAGAACGATCAAATTCTCTACCTCATGCTACAGTATGAACCTTGCAATGTAAACTATTCATTATCAGCTGACATTGCTCAATCTAACTCCTTCGTACAAACTCCTCACCTTTCCCGGGTTCCCACCAAGGATCCGAATGACAGTAGGACTCAATCGCTCCACTTCCGGTAGTGACACTAGTTGTGTTGCCATTTTCTTGATAGTATTTTTAAGGGATATCATCAATGTAGATAAAGGTTCATTCTTTGATGTTGGAGTAGATGACTCTAGAGATGATGCAATGCCGATAAGCCTCGGTTCATTGATGGCCTTTTGATAAGCATGACTTTAGTGTCAATAACCTTGAGTAGAGACCTATAATGATAATACACTGGTATCAAGATTCCAAAGAAAGGAAGCTTAGATATTATGTATAATAGATGCATCTTTAAATCTGGTCCTGTATAGGTATATTCCATGGCTTTAGATTGTGATTTCACACAAATTACAATAGGAAAGGGTAAATGTACCTTTTCTAGGCAAGCTATTCAGCTGAAGAGTATACAATTAAGATATATACTACTTTTTGCTCCCTCGATCCTATCATGTTGTCTAGTATTGTGTGTAACTAGAACTAGAGACCGTTTAAGAATACCTGAGTACATTGTAACACAACATACCTGTCCAATACCTATTCGAGTACAAGATATCCATATAGGGGACCATAACCCCAGTCCCCGAAAATAGCCTTTCAATATATTGCCACTTGGTGTCTCACCGCCCGACCGATTTTCCGCAAGGCTTACCATTTAAGCTTCACATTAATCCATTTATAAATGTTCAGAAATCAGAAATCCATCAACGAATCTACGATTTTGTCGCAATTGCAGGAGATCTGCACATATAGAAATGTCGACATCTAGACCAGTAACTCCGGCTTCTCCTCGATTAATTAAGATTAAATCGCCACAACCTGGAGTTCCTAAATATGGCTGTCGTATGTTTCTCAATCCATTCGTGTCGTATTCTCAGCCTTCCCATCAATTGCTAATATGGCATCATAGAGCATATTCAACAACTATTGAATCCGGCTCATGATGAACGTATGAGAAATACAATTACATATTATAAGAATTGTTTGAGAGTGGTTCTAGATAACACACCAATTGTACCTCAGACATCTAAGACGCCAAAAGGCCCGCCCCTCACTTCTCTGACGCCAAATTACCTCTGTTTGCAATGTGAACGAACGGCTACGGCTCAGGATCATGTAAAGCATGGCCAGGAGACTTCGCATAGATTTTGTATGTTGGTTTACAATGTCAATGTGTAAGACCTCGCTAATCAATGACATACTCAGATGTTGAATCAAGGACGGGAGCTTTGTTTTGCCAAATGTGCAGTGATTTCGTATGGGATCCTACACTAGAGGAATTGAGAGTGCGCAAAATTGGTACTGGGTCTTTTTCTAGTAAGTCAAATATGAGTTTCATACCTTCCTTGAGTTTTGTTGTGGCAAGCTTCGATGAGGAGCTCCTTAGCATTAGCTGCAGCTCCATGGTGTCTGCATCACAAATACTCAGATAAATTCGTTCTATTATGCTTTACATTGTCTATTATCTAGCTTTGTCAGCGGCGTTAATACGTCTTTTCACGCAACATACTGATTTTGCCTCTCACTTAGGTCGGAAGCGAAAACATGATGAACTTTTTACAGACGCCACCAAAGATGACCCAAGATTTATATCTACAAATACAATGTCAGCTCCTTGTAGAGCAAGTGGTGTTAGGGGTATCTATAATATGGGAGCCACCTGTTACATGAACGTCATTCTCCAATCTTTCGTTCATAATCCTCTGCTTCGAAATTTTTACCTCGGAGACGGTCACCAAGCAAGCGAATGCGAACAAAAGAATTGTATGAGTTGCGCTATGGATGATATGTTCCAAGATTTCTATTCGCAAGAGATTACAACAGGATATTCAGCCTCGAATATACTTGCTAGCTTTTGGCTTTCAAAGAGAAAAGCATACGAAGAATTGGCAAGTAATAAAGAGCAAGACGCTCATGAGTTCTTCCAATTTCTTACCGAGGAGTTGCACGAAATTAATGGTGGATCACGAGCAAGCGATCCAGAGGATAGCAGCCCAAATCCTAAGCGATCAAAAATGGATCAAGGCTGCAAATGCATCGTCCACCAGACATTTTATGGGAAGCTCCAAAGCACTATCACATGTCAGAATTGCGGAGACGTGAATACATCGGTCGAGTCCTTCCTAGATCTAAGTTTAGGTCTTGATGTTATTCAGAAAAAGAGCAAGCTAAAAGCAGCCACTGGCACGATAAGTCTCCAACGTTGTCTAGACGAAGAGTATATTCGACCTGAACGTTGCGAGTATTCATGTAATCAATGCGATACTTCAGAGGCAAAGAAGCAACTTAGTATCAAAAGCCTACCCAACGTATTGTGTATTCAACTTAAGGTAAATATCTCTATCTTGTCACTAAACCATAAGAATCAACGCAAAACTAATGCGGGAATAGCGCTTCAAACAAGACCCCAGAGGTCTGGCTTCAAAGATCGATACTACTGTCACCTTTCCACTTCAATTACACATGCTTCCTTACACCAATCGTGCTCGTGGTGTAGACACGAAGAACAATTTTGAGCTAGCCAGATCGTGTACTTATGATTTGCAGAGTGTTGTGGTTCATGTTGGAAACTTGGAAACTGGTGAGCAAGCACTGCACCTCCCGATTTTTTATTCGAGATACTGGTGAAGAGATTGCTAATAGGAAATTCGAAAATAGGTCACTACGTATCCTACTCTCGAGTCGGAAATCAGTGGTTTAAGTTCAATGACCATAATGTTACGTTGGCGAGTAAGAGTCAAGTGTTGAACGAACAAGCTTTTCTACTATTCTACGTAATTCAGAGTCTCGCTTGAAGATGTGATTGGGAGTGAGGCTGGCATAAGTAGGATACGTATCATATACATAATAGTAAGAACGAAAGGACCCGTCATTATATGAGAGGAACTTTGGAGAGCAGAGTGGAATGCTGGAATATGGTATACACATAAAGTGCTTTGGGTTGGAGCTTCGGGCATAAGGTTTTGCATTCAAGGCGTTAACGTTGCGGGTATTGCTTGGTGGGATATGGAGCAGGATTTGGCTGGGGGTGCATACTTGGTGATTCATGGATGATAGAGATTTGAAGGGAGACGGAAAAGAGGGGAAAAATGGGGGTTATAAAAGGTGTTTCTTTATTTCTCAAAGGGAAATACTTGTTTATATTACTTTACATATACCCATTATACAATACAGAAATTGTAGTTTTTCTTTTAGGAGAGAATGAATCTGGATGAAGCTATATCCGAAGATCTGTGAATCAGACCGGGACTGTCATGACGCATAGGTAATGAGGTGGATGAGGTGGTACGAGAAATGGGGTGATGGTGATGGAGAAATGGATAGGGCTTGTGTGATATGATGGTATGATGTGATATTGTATAAGTTTATTACAGCTGCTGCCTGCGGGGTGATGAGGGACATGAGATGGGAGTGGAGAAGTGGATTACCAAAGTCGATATCTTTTTTATAGCAGGGGCACGAGGTGCAATGGAGGGGTGTGTGCTATATCTAGGACTTTGTGTGTGAATTACGGATAAGGAATGGAAGAGAAGAAAACATTTCTGGCGGCTTATATGCGAATACTGGGTATGTACGATGTGCGTATGTGGAAGTCATTTTGACCGGCTCGGAATCGGGAGAGATGGGTTGCCGGTGGGATGGAGGGTGGAAGGGAAGGGCTGCTGATGATGCATACTGCTGAGTGGGATTGGGATCTGCTATTGTGAGGTTATCTCGGATCGGTACAGATGGGATGGGGAGGGAAATAGAATATTTCAGACTTTGCGTGGATGAAGATTTGTTGGTTGTTTTACACGTCTGTTGACAGATCATGTGTTAGAGGGGAAAGAGAATATTGAGCGGTAGTCTGTCTGTTGGTGGCCATGTATTTAGTCCCGGGAATTTTTGTACATTTCTCGGATTCCGAAGTATGCCGGGGATGATATAATGATATAAGCGAGATGTGTTATGATCTGATAGATCACAGATGAACTGAGGTATCGAACAGGTGATGAAATCGGATCGAAGATGGGAGAATGGAGAATACAACGCTGCAACGGAAATATGAATAAATGAGCGAAGTTTTAAAATGCCGTAGCCAATGACGTGAAGAGATGGAGTTTGGGCTAGGAGCGGTGTTTAATATCCGAGAGATATCCTAGTTTGCAGTGTGCGTGTGTAGTGACTTGTGAAGGAGAGAGGGGTGGAAGCTAGGACCCCCTCTTTTGAAGGATGGGAGAAGCGAGCTGCAGCCTGCACGGTGGGTTGAGAGTGTTTTAGTGGCGGTCTCGGCGTGGAACGGGATGGTCGATGGCGTCAATCTAGATGATATGTAGTTTGTCGTGTTTTATGTTTAGATTTTGGGAGGCGTGAAAGATTGGAAGTCGATGTACATTGAAACCTTTGGTCGTTGACGAGGAGGCCTGTATACTATGTGAAAGGCTGACGAGTCAGGAACGTGGTGGCCGTAGGTGTTTTGGGAGAAGCTTGGTCTGTAAGCACGAATATGTTTTGATGATCAGATGATTGTTTTTCAAGGGAGTTACTAGATACCGGTATGACATGGTCGGGGAGAAAAAACGCCATGTCAGTTTATTTCTGGTCGCCATGAATGATAATTCCGATGTTTCCGTTACCACTTGCATAATCTGAGGATTTGTTCTGTTCCTCGTGCCACGATGCGCGCATGCAAGAAGTCGAAATCGTGATGAGATTTGTCCCACCATGAATAGGTAGGCACTGCAGAATTTTCACTCTCTGCCAGGCATTTGTTCCTACCTTACTGGAAGAGAAATAGGTGAGGATATTGATGAATCATGAATGAGTCTTCGGAAATGCCGGAGCTGAGTGTCGTTGACATGGCTCGATTGCTGAAGTAATGAATGTGGAGGTAAGGAACGAAAGAAAACGTGGTGGTTGGATGATCTTCAATGGTAGAGCATGGATAGTAAGCATAAGGTTGCTAGCAGATATTACTAGTAAGTGCATGCATGGATGGAACAGATAGTAGATAATATCCTCGAGCTATCATGATGATCTCAGTCACGAGCGGGGACATGATGTTGGGTTGGGAATTCATGTGATTGGCGAAGAGTTTTCATGTGAGGAGCTTTTTTTCTTCTTCTTTCCTTTCTCTTTTGGGTGCAGCCTTGTTGTTGACTTGGTGTTTTAATGCAAGGTGCCGGTGGAAAGTATATTATGAATTATTAATTACATCTTAGTAATTATGAGTCTAAGGACCGGAGTATGGTAAGGTTGGTGTGTCAGCTGTGCTGTCAGATCTCTGGTATTATTGAGATGGTCGAGTCAAAGTGCGTTTTGATGAAATTCCTTGTAGGAAAGAAATGTTGGACCGAGTCTCACATAGGAGTCTCGTCTTCATCAAGATGATATGCATGGAGTTCTAGTTAGAGAATCTTCTGCTATCTCTTTTTGACAGTATGTGTACGTGTGTGTGTATTATACATCTTGTCGCGCGGTTGTTTGGTTACGCGGACGGATGTTGTTCAATTTGAGTGTTGATGTTCTGCTGTGGATACACTTATTCATACTATGATCACCTCGTACAGAGCTTAATAAATGCCTAATATTCAGTCTAACACCCCACGTCATATTCATTCACGCCAAGCTTTATAGCTTTTCTCATGTGGCTTTCTTACCCAGCATCGATTACCCACCTTAGCTAGACACCGAGAATTCTGATTGAAAACAAAGAACAACGAAGACCTGCAATGATGTGAGAATTTGGAGGAGACTCATTAGGTACATACAGCTGAGGCCATATTGAAAGGTCAAATACTCACTCTACAATATCATGTATTATCCTTTGGAAAGACCAAAATATCAAATATAATGGGAAAGTCGGATGATATCATCCATTTTGAATGCCGCCGCTTGCGGTAGTTGGCTTATTGCTTCCAGATGTTAGCTTAGTCATCTATCAAACTACATTTGTACGAAGTGAACCTAAGTACATCGAGAAAAATCATGTGGAAGCAGCAAGACTTATTAAGAGCACCCAAAGGCAGGTAAGGTCAGCTAATTATTAAGGTAGTAACCCCACCAATATGCCAAATCTCGATCTTTCGCAAAATCAATGCCGAATATCCAATCCCTAGTCATTTGGCACCTCGTGCTAGCTGGCTGACTGCCGCCTATGTAAATGCACATTTACACCTCAATCCATAGGGCGCGAACTTGGTCAGTGGAGTAAGAAATCCAAAATTGACGGTTCCATTTGATATCGGCAACGACGGAGTTATCACCGTTGGCAAATGAAAGCTTTCTTTCCATTGCTTCTACCTCATGCCCATGATTCTATCACGGGAAACGTATTTATTAGTCGTCATTCTGCGGGCAATGTTTCCACCTCCTTCCGACTTCTCTACCCACACATTTTCCCTTTCGGCGTAAAGACAAGACCATTCTTCTAGAACATCTCGTTCTTTTGTTCCACTATTTTGTTTTCATCATCAGTATACATATTTAGTGAACGCCCGCACTTGTGATTTCTTTTCACCCCACCCTTCACTCTTCCATACACCTTGAGGTTACTCAGATACCCAGATACCCTAGATTATTTACATTGTGCTCTTTTACACACAATACTCTTCTTAATATCACAACACCTTCCTCTACTAGCACAGTAAGGAATACAATCAGATGCCTTCACATCTGCGAAATCTCGCATTATGTAGCAGCCTTATATTGCTCGGACATGCACCTCTGATAGCCGCACACGGCGATGAAGAATCGGAAATGGATATGAACATGCCAATGAGTTCGGTAGCCACAGCGATATCTACAGCCACAGTTTCAGCCGGCATAGAAACTCTCGTGGTGGCTGAACCTTCGAGTTATTTTCGATATCCTGAACATGGAAGTTTGATGGTAGCTCACATTATACTCATGACCATAGGATGGGTGTTCGTTCTGCCAATATGTGAGTAGTTCTGGAGCAGTCAAATGTTTCCAAAATCTAATATATTTTAGGTGTGATGCTCTCCATTTCTCGATCGCGATTCAATGTCCCTACACAATTCGCGTTTCTAGCTTTGAACGGTGGTGGTCTCCTCTGCAGCATAATATACAATGCCTCCACTCCGGACCTCTATCCGAATAATTTTCACCATAAATTGGGGTGGTTTTTGATGTGCGTAGTCACTGCACAAGCGCTATTAGGGGTTATCAGTGCCTACGCGGGGCACAGAAGCGAGGAGGAACAGGAGAACACCGGGTATATTCCAGTTTCGAGAGAAGCAATTGCTGAACATACCCGTATGCACGAACGACCTAAACCTATTCCTAGATTATCGGATGATAGTGGTCAAGGTACTGAACCAGGTACCGAATCTCTACGAAGCCAATCGATGTCTCTCTGTGGAGATGATGAAAATACTCTAAATGAATCGGAGAATGACGAATTGGAGAAAGTGGGGTGGATGGAAGGTACCCCGGTGGGTCAATACTTGTCGAAACGACTTCCGGGATTACTTTCTGCGCGTCTTTTGAAAATAATTCAATTTTCATGTGACGTTGTAGATCGGGTAATTCTTCTCCTGGGTTTTGCTATTCTCACATCCGGATTCGTCACATATGGTGGTTTATTTGTAAGTTTTGCCAGCTCTATGAATACGTACATCTTCAGACACTAAATTTCAGCGCAGAAAGGAGCGGAAATTTACAGTGGTCTTGCGCACTTCATCAAGGGTTCAGTTTTCTTCTGGTATGGAATCTTAACTCTTGGTCGATGGGCAGGTTGCTTCGCCGAGATTGGTTGGTCCTGGAATGTCAAACCTGATAATGAGCGGCGATTTGCTCTAACCGCTGAATTCGTAGAAAGTTTCCTTATTTTCTTCTACGGCTCCACGAATGTTTTCTTGGAACATTTGGCTGCTTGGGGGAGTGCATGGAGCGCACAAGATCTCGAGCATATCTCAATCACCATTATGTTTATTGGTGGTGGATTGGTGAGTTATTGAGATAATAATTCCTAAACGCTTCTAACTTGTATAGTGCGGTATGCTTATTGAGTCGAACAAAATTCGCAACCTTTTGAACACCACAGTCCAAAAATCATCTCAAATGTCCTCCTATCATCCGGAAGCTCAAGATCCAAAATCCTATAGGTTTTCAATGAACCCAATCCCCGCTCTGGTCATCATGCTATTGGGAATGATGATGAGTTCTCACCATCAACATTCAATGGTCTCAACTATGATTCATGGACAATGGGGAACTTTACTTGTGGGTGCAGCATTTGCACGTGCTGCTACTTATGTTGTATTCTATCTCTCACCACCAACGTCGATTCTGCCTGGTAGACCCCCCACGGAAATCATTACAGCTTTCTGTTTGATGGCTGGAGGTTTGATTTTTATGGCTAGTGTATGTCACCCCTTCTCTCACTCGAACCTATCAATACTAACAGAATTTTAGAGCAAAGATACAGTTAAGGCTATTGAAATGAATGATCTCGATGCGATGTTTGTTTTTACAGTTTCCATGGGTCTCATCACATTTCTGATGGCTTGGATTATCTTGGTGATTGCAATCAAAGGATGGGCAACGAGAAAAGAGAAGAGATGGGGTAAGAGTGTCGGTTATGAGGTCGATGGAACTGCATGAAAATACTGCTGGCGGATAATGATGACTTTGAGGAAAGAGAATATGGAAAAGAGGTGGGGTAATATATAGATGGGTCATGATATTATGAATTGGTGCATGAGAGGATGAAAATGGTAATGCTTATGAGGCGGGAATGGAGTTATGGCGTCAAGATACCATGGATTGTTTGATCTTTTGGGTTCGGGTTTGGAACGGAAATTGGAAATCTTAATTATGAGAAGTGGAAGGGAAGCAGAGATTGATTAATCAAATGATGAAATTGAAGCTTGAGGAGTATAATGTCTCGTTACTTATGCGCAACCAACATGAGTATAAAAATCGCAATTCTCGTCGATGATGTTGATTTCCTATTTATACTCTACCTTCGCGCGCAAAGCGGCTTCATTTAGATGTAGAATACTCGAGTAGAACTAGGTATCAGAATGATTGAATTGAAGGCAAATACCAATGCAATTAATATCTTTCACTTCTTTCACGAAACAGCAAACATATCCATTAAAATCCCTCTTGTTTTCAACATCTACAAACCCCAACACATTTTTGACAGTTCCCTTCCAATTTACCTTGGGTGTATTATGTTGAGTTGAGTTGAGTTGAGATGCATTCAGCCATACCCCCACCCTCACCCGAACATCCTCCGACTACCCCAGGTCCGAGCACCACACCATCACACCACCACATTTTCCTCATATATATATTCCAAAAGCGCAGTTTACAAGTCGGAGTGGGACAAGCTAGCTCAGAATTCATTTCTTGCCTTTTACCAGAGATGACCGTGGCTCATGCCCAAGATACTCCATTCTTCAAATCTTTGTAACACACCTTCTGATTACTCAGGAATAACTATTTTTGGGTTTTTTTGGAGGGGGGGAAGGTGAGAGGAGGAGGAGAGATTTTTTGAGGGAGGTAGGTAGGTGGGTGGGGGGTGTTTTTGTGGGGTGGGTGGAGATGGGGGTTTGGGGGTGTGATTTTTGATGTGAGACAGAATGGATGACTTTTGTTTGCAGTGTGATTCACGATTTTGTTTTGAATTTTGATGAGAGAGTTGGGTTGTGATTCTCCAGAAGTCTGGTATTTATGTAATTTTATTTTATTTTTTAGGCATATAGGTATTATCAGCTATCTGAGAAGGAATTTGCAGATATTGATTGCTGCTCAATTTTCATTCATGATAGGAGAGAGTGAGAGAATGTTGATGGATTTAGTTTTCATTGATTCCGACTACAAGCTGATTGGAGAGTGCGAAAGCGTTAAACATCTTGAGTTATTAGTTAATTTCTTGATTGCTTTAATATGATAGTAGATAGAATACTTGAGAATTCCTCAGAGATATATTATTGAACACGATTTAATGAAGGTGAATTTATGACCTGAAAATATGAATAGATTGGTGTGATTTATGAGTTCGTACTATGTGCGAGTTATGACTCTATTGGTAGTGCCAGAACTGACGTTGAATGATAGCATAGAAATTACCTCAAACCAATACAAGAGTACGCATTTCCCAGGGATATGAATCGAATTCCGAGGAATCTGGAAATTGAGCCAATCCTACCCTCTTGAACGTTTCCCTTTCAGCCCCTGGCTCAAGAATAAGGCATATTACACCATTAGTTCGGATATTTCCATCATTTCGGAAAGTCAATTCCGGCCCCAGGACACTACCAACTTGTACTATGACAAGAGAATTAGAAGTGGGTTGTATGAGGGGCTTTTGAACTACTTTCTTTCTCTCGGGGGGAGCAAAACTAGAGCTTGGGTCGTCTGTGGCTAAGGATACGTGCTCCGGTGATGTTCCTGTTACTGTCTGTGTTTGCGCTTCATTTACTTTTATGATCTTTGATACAAATCGGTCTTTGAATCTGGATCTAACTTTCTTGGACTGTAAATTATCTGAGTGACTCTTGTATGATGGAATCTCGAGGGATATAATTTCGGATGACCGATTGTAGTTCAGAAGAAGTTGCGAATAAGCGAGGGGGAATAGCTCGTACTGACCTATCATAGTTATCTTTTACTGAATATGTCATTGGTCAGCGTCAAGCCAAAGGGTGCGAAGTGTGAGCTTCGCAGATAACACGGGCCCATTAGGAAGTTCATCAGCAGTTGTGATCTCGTAACCAAATACCTGCGCTCTAAATCTCGAATCACAGATTGTTTGGCCTAGAGTAGGATAATAGCCATAACACTGACTGGAATTCCGATCTTCGAGGCCGACGCTGGCCCAGCTCCATGAGGGTGCAACAAATGCTTTTGGGATACTTACTGCCCCATGTGTGCGCCAGAGAAGACCATCATGGACGTCTCCGGCCCATATTCCCATCCAATGGGTCAGTCCAAACTGTATTCCCATCTCTTGTGTTAGAGCAGCCAACGCGATGAGTCGGTCAGTTTCGAAAGTGAGGGAACGACCTGCGTATTCGTCTACTAAGCTATACCACCGCTTTAGTGGGTCAAGCGACTGGGCATACGAGGGGGCCAAGCTTCTCAGCTATGTAGCTTCGTCCATAGCTCGGAGTCAAGAAGAATCTCTTGGGGTCCATATCGAGCCAAATCCTTTCGTCGCTTGACAAGAAAATTTCCGGATTAACATTCGACTCGAATAGTTTGTGAAATTGACAATTCCAACAAGCTGCTCAGAAGTGCAGTACAAAGCGCGTGGAGAAAGAAGGTGTTTTTGAAGTTTCCATCCTCTAGTAGCAAGAGCAGAACGTTGGCGAGCCGGTGATTCGAATCTGGTACTATTTTCCACTTCAAGGTAAATTGTACAATACTTATCTAATCCCCAATGATCTAGGGACATGGAAACAGCAACCTTTGAGTTTTGCCTAGAAGCAGTACCCAAGAAACCATCCCGGTCAGACGATGCGTCGTCGACAGCAATACAAAGTACACAATTTTTATAATAATCTCGCATGCGTCCAGACTCAAACAACCAATCTGCCCGGGCGGCGACATCGGAACCTTGGAGAATACAGATGGAATCAACCTGAAGGTATCTGAACCTCAAATACCTCGTGACTTTTACGGCATCTTTCAGCGCGCGTGGAAGTTCTCGCAGTGAGATAGAGCGCATTTTGCTGCCTAAGTTATCGACATTGATCACATGATTGTAAGTATTACCCCAAAAATGGCTCAATGCAACCCAGCTACCCGTGTCTCCCTTCTTACTAACATGGAGATGCAGTTTCTCAGATCCGTTCTTATATCCAGTATCAATAACACGAGAAGGCAACAGAGCATTTTGATCATTCGGACAAGAAACCTGATGGTTGAGAAGACACTCTTGAAGCCACGATCGAGCCCTCTCATAGGATTCCATTGAATCGGAAGTATTTGGAACAGGACATCCACCAATGATGTTCCACGTGGTAGCGGGACAGTCTATTTATGTATAGTTAATCTTGGGACTTGAGAGCTGTCGGACTGCATATGCGTACCTGGCTCACCAAAAATTGTGCAGAACAGAGCGAAAATTTATGGTTTCTTCGAGACTTCCATCTTTGTTCCGGATAATCCACTCAAAGTAAAATTCAGTAATTCCTCTAGTGTAATCATCCTTAGTTGGACCCATCAGACCTTGACAATACCCTGCTCCTCATCGTATAACTAAGTCTCTTTCTACTCTTTGGTATATGATCCACACGGCGCATACCCTTTTGAATCTCGATATATAAATTACAACCCTTCCGAGCTGGATTTACGAGGCTTTCATAGTTGGCGTGATGCTGATTATGACTCATCCCTTCTACTCGCTCAGCATTGTTAGCTGGGTAAAATAGGTGGTAACATAGTCTTCCAAAATCAATCGATTTGCAAACTTCGCAAAGCATGATGATACGGCGATGAAAGATGAATGAAATAAAACTGATGAAGTCTCAAAAAAGCCGTTGCTGTTATCCTCAATATGCGGTACTACACGCGCCAGCCTCAATCAAGAAGGCTGCAGAGAAATATCACAAACATGGCGTGATGGAGCCTGAATTACGCAAGCAACGGCATGAAGGAAATTCAACGTCTGAATTGTAACGCTGAAGAGTATAAAAGGCATTCTGAGCCTAAGATATCCCTTTGATTATCAATATCAAAAAATAAATCAAGATACTAAAGAGTAGCATGATGTCAATTTTATATACAAAAAAATTGTAAACCCTGCCGCTTAAACCTACCCGGACGGAAAAATGGGGCAGTTATAACCGAACATCATGAACATCAAAATTTACTCATACTTCTCCCCTTTTATCTCATATAGTCACACTTTACACTTCACCGTGTTCCCTTTCCTCGACATAATAAACCGAAAATTAAGACCCAAGAGAAAGAAGTATTGGGCAGATATTGGGTGATTTCTTCAATCTTCCATCTTCCCTGTTCCTCACCAAGCGAATCATCATACAAACAAGTGACGTCCTACCCTGCCATCCCAAACTGCAGCCCTACCAAGACAACAAACATATCAAAAGCAACAACCCCATCACATCACCCTCACCCTCACGCTCATACGATACGATACCAAATAAACAACTACAAACATGACTACATATTCTTCCACTCCACTCTTCGGCGGCGCCCTCATAGTCGACCTTCCATCTACATTCGCTGACGTCAGGTAAGCTCTTTCAAGAAAAAAACCAACCAACATCAAAACACATGCAGAGCCCCACATCCACTCCTGACGAAAACTCAAAACCATCACGATCAGCACCAAACTAACAATTCTACAGTACAATAAGACAAGTTCCCGACCATCAAGAAGTCTATTTAGATAAAGATGGTTTTACCAGTATCATATTCGATATCACCGAGCGAGTTGGTACTGCGGGCTCTAGCCCCGCGACCGATGGAGCGGCTATGACGACCCATTTGGAGGATATTGTTGATTCCGATTTGGACACTGTGAAAGTATGGTCGATTACCGATACTAAGTTTTCTAAATTGCCGTACGTACCTCGCATTCATTTGCCCTTTTTGTGTTCCTCTATCCTCTGCCCCCCCCCCATCATCCCATATCCACCACCACGTCACATGACCAAGCCTTCATCTACTCAACCCAAATCTGACAATACCCAGCGAAGACACACCCGCCTACACACTCATCGCTACTCAAACACCACCTCATGATCCCAACTCCCGCGCCTCAGCTCCAGATTTCACAGCCATAGTTCTCAATCTCATCCGTTTAGAAAGAGAGAGTACAGATATCTTGGTAACAATTAACGTGCCTCATATTAAAGGCGAATATTCAGCCGATGATGTGGATTTGCAATTAGGGAAACAGGGGAAATTGATTGAGAATGCTGTTGAACATGCAGCTAAGATTTGGGAAACTTTCAAGATTAAGGATTGGGGTCTTTTTGATGAGGTTTAGATGATGAAAGGGGAACGAGAAGTGAGAGGAGAGCGGATGGAAGGGGATTGGGAGATGGGCGAGATCGATATGGGATGAAATGGAATGGATATCAATTTAGTATGGATTTTGCTGGATGCTGGGGATTTCTCTAATGCTGTTTCATGGGTTGTTTTTCAAATTTCCATTCCCTTTGTCAGGACAGAGCAATGCGTATCTACAGAGTGAGCTGTCATTATGAAGATTAGTCTGAATAGTCTGAATTTCATTACGTATTCAACAAATCTCAAATTTCAACTTGATTTTTCTCTCACTCTCGCGGACTCGTCAAATCCAAGAAATCGAGTTTCCTCGCAACAATCTCCACATCCCCATCATCAGGTGTATTCTCCTTCTCCCCCGCTTCTGCAGCTTTACTAGCCTTCTGCTCCTGATACTTTTTCGCCACCAACCCCATAATATCCTTCTGCGGACTCCCCGGATTCTCATCCCTAATCTTCTTCATATTCTCCTTTACAAAAGCCTGATACTCATTCTCCTTTCCATTCTTTGCTGCTCCCCTAGGCACCGGTTTGATCTGTGCCAAAACCCCCTTACAAGCACCACATCTATGTCTTTGCGTATCGATACTTTTCGAATGTCTCTTAAACAGCGTTTTGCACCCTGCTTCCGTACATTCCCATACATATTTGTATTCTATCTCATAAGAATGTTTCGTCGTAACCTCAATTCCGCGATCCCCGAATACATTCGAACACTTCGCAGCCCATTCTTTGAATTCTTTTCCGTGCGGATTTGTCTTGATATTGGAAATCATGAAATTGGCCAGATGACAAAATTCGTGCGCAAGGACATTCAAAAGACGGTTTTCGTCGTCGATGACTTTTTCCGCGAGCTCGATGGATGCGTAGTGACGAAATGTGGTGGTGGCTTTGCCATCGGTATTAGTGGTTAGGGGAGATTTGATGGTCTCGCGTTTCCAATTTGCGCGACCGGCGGTTGTGGTGAGCTTTTTGGACCAGATGATTTGGACGCCGCCGGTAGAAGCGGAGAGTTCGGCAATGCGGCCGGATGTGATTTTGGTGTCGAGTTCGAGGAGGAAGTCGGAGGCGATGGTGTGTTTGGAGATTGAGAAGGCTTTTTTGGAATCTTTGTCTATGCGAGGAGCTTTGAATGAAGGGGGTTTTTTGAAGAGAGATTTACCTCCTGAGGTTGAGAAAGGTTGAAGCTTGGGTTTGGAGATGGGTTGGAGAGTTTTCATGGGGGAGTATTGATCATTCCAATCGTTCACGAGATCTTGAGACCAGAAACTATCCATACTGGGACGATGCGGTGTAGATGGTATGCGGGATAACTTTTTAGGTGATGCCAGGCCTCGAGGTTTTGATTCTGGACTTCCTGGTGGTGTTGATAGTCTCACTCCTTTGGATACTTTTCTGGACGAGGGGGAACTTGTATATATTAGCATGATTCTAATACTATGAGATCGATTATCTTACAATCGTAAAACAGCGCCATTATCATCAACACTAGAAGAAGTCCCTGGACGAATCTCAACTTTCTCATCTCTCTTTGGTGGCTGTAAGACTGGTGGGTTGAATGCAGGAGGTGTGTCTTTGTCATCCAGTGTAGTTTTGTCTAGAAGTTGTCGTAGAATCTCCTCCTCTGTATCAGTACCACTCGAATCTTCGACCACTGTTATACGACCCCTGGCTAGTCTTCGAGTCGATTTTGGTGGTGTTTTGAAAACGTCAGAATCGTCATCGTCGTCTACTATGAAATCTGAAAGATCATCCGAATCATCATCTTCGTCTTCCTCCTCTGAATCGGCTATCGTAGGTTTCCGAGCCGTTGGTCTTCGTTCCTCATCAGGATCTGGTATCCTAGGCTTTGTAACTAGTGGTTTCCTTTTTAGTTCATCCTTTAACACCTTTGGCATCGGTACAAAATCTGATAGATTGTCCGAATCAACCTCATCCTCATCCTCTTCCGAATCGGCTACCCTATAATTCCGAGCTACAACTTTGCGCTCCTCTTCAAAACCCGGTATCCTAGGTTCCACAACCGTTGGCTTCCGCCTTGGTTCTTCCTTCACCACTCGTGTCATCGGAACCGCTGAATTTGAAGCCGATATCTTTCTGGGCTCTGTACTCGCTCGCTTCGTACCCATACTCAATGGTTTCAAAAGTGGATTATCTGAGTTCTGCTTCAAAACGCGTTTCCTAGCTTTAGGTTTTGCATTCTCAGAGCTTTCTATCTCATAACTCCCTAACTCCTTCAAATTTGAAGTTATCGATCCTTTCTCTTTCTTCAGACCACTTTTCGGCTCACTCCGGTCGACCTTCCTATTTGTTTCTCCCGATACTTTTTGTGATGTTTTTGTTCCTGCCTTTCCTCGAATAACTTCATTCACGTCCGGGAATTCCTCATCACTACTATATACCACAAGCCTCGCCATAATATATGTTGGTGTAAAAGAATTTGCTGTAATAAACTTCAAACTAATATTAATGAGTTGTTAATGGATCAGTTATTGTCTCTTTTTTTCCGGTTTGTGGCTTCTATGTTGGCTCGGCAACGAGATGCTGATAAAGTGGGTTTTGTAAATTTAGCACCAGGACAGTTGTTTCACCCCTTTCTTCATAATTAAGGAACAGATTTGATGGAATAAGTCTATATTTTTAAATGTCATCTTTCAATTAATTGGTGTACAATTGAAGCATAGGAGAAATCTTGTCAATGTATGGTATTCGGGTCTTGCTAGAAGCAGTTTCTGCAACACACGGGTAAATATTAAGGTTACAATACATCTCCAATATAGATTGCATCATCCCCATAACACTTTAACATTCACTTGCGTGAAATGATGAATCATTACTCATCTTCCTCCGAATCTTCTCCCTGTACTTCATTCTTTCCACCGTCAACCTTCTGTTCCTGCTTCCTCCACAAGTTGGCCAGAAATTCGCCGGTGCTAGCCTCTTCTATAGATTTGTCCTCTCTCTTTTTCAAAAATCTAGGAAATCTCAAACTCAATCCCTTTTCATCGCTCACAAGACCAATTGCCGCTCTATAAACTGGACTAATCGTGACATCCGCGAAAGCCATCTCCCAGACCTCTTGCGGTTCAAACCATACATCGGGGTGCCCTCCTCGATAATCGACGTAATTTGGTTTGCCTCCAAGAACATGCTCGCCACCTTCTTCGTAAAATTCTTTGTTCGCCTTGTAAAATGTATCACTAAATCCCGAGATACACTTACACACGGCTTCCAGAGTCCCCGTCTCTTCGTTGCGAACCGCGAGGAGGATTGGTGACCAGAATTTTGCTTTGCGTCCTTGGCCATGCCAAGCAGCAACAGGTATCAGATCGAGTGTATCATATGAAGCACTGTAGTCCTTCTTTACTTTCAGCCAAGAATCCAGTCGTTTGTCAGGCTCGTAGGTAGATAATAAAGCTTTTCTTCGAGTCTTCTTCTTGGGCTCTTTATCTGCAGGCTTCCTCTCTTTTGATTGCTTCTGGGGCGTCTGGGGGAAAGAGGATACTGGTTCATCTGATATTTCCTCTGACTCAGGCAAAGTAGGGTTTGGTAGATTATCTAAAATTTTCACCATGATTCCTTCGCACTTTCTCTCTGTCGCGCCTTTGAAGAATTCCAAAACAACCTCTGAGTCTTGCGAAGTAGCGTCGATACTCTTCACCCAGGTGAACTGATTCGGTACCTCGACGAACAAACCCCGAAGCAGTTCTCGTCTTTCCCGGAATGTTCGATTCAGAAGCGATTCGCCATTCAAATACATCAAATCGAAGGAGAACAGGCACACATCAATAGTGACACTTCCAATCGCTACGTCTTTCCTCGCTCGATTTGCTAATGATTGAAAGGGTTTCAGATCACCAGTTTCTCGATCGACAGAAACGACCTCTCCTTCCATGATGAAACTATCAACTCCTTCTCCGCGAATCTTTGGTATCAAAGCCACAAGATCAGGATATTTGTCAGTCATGAGTTCTAGATGCCTGGAGAATATGGACACTTTGCCGTTCTCATCGCAATGGACTTGTGCTCGTTGTCCGTCATACTTATATTCGCAACTGAAATCTCTACCTTGAAGTTTCGTAAGCATTTCTGCAAGATCCCTAGTAATACTTCCTAACATGGGGCGTAACGGAATATGCAAGGCTAGTCCGCATCCAACTAATAGTTCCTCACAGACTCCAATCTCAAGTAGAACGGGTACCAGGTCGTTATAATTTGGTCTCTTTGCAAAGCATGCCTTCACGATTTCCTCGCCCTTGGACCACACCTCAGTCAAGCCTTCTTTTTTAAGTTTTGCCAGCTCTTGTGGTGATTTGAGAGGAAAATCTGCTCCTGGTGGCTTAGATAATTGGAAAGCTCGAGATAAAGCAATCAACATGGTAGTTTTAACTGCACCAATACGGAGCTAATGGACAGGATTAGTGAGAGATCCGACATGGTGCTTCACAAATCAACCGTATAGAGTGTAATGTGAAGATAGATATGATTACTTACATGTTGGCACAAAGTTCTAACAACATATCGACTCTCTTCTGCTCCTCTGGCATCCTGCATCAAGCGATCAACGACTCGTTGCTTGATCTCACTACTGCCTGTTCCTTGCGTCTTGGCTATTTTGACTAGGGATTGATAGACTCCTTTTATTGTGAGTGGCTTTGGCTTTCTCAATGTAAAACTTTGTCTCTTCTTCGCCTCAAAAGCGACATCACCAGCATCACCATGTTTGTCGTACAAGGACTTCAATGACCTAGAGTCTAACCCACACACATTTTTCAATGCTTTTGAAATGGCCGAGCCTCCCAAACCTAGTTCAAGGGATATGTATGGCGGTGAAATCGCATTCGTTGCCAGCCAGACCTTCATTGAGAATTAGTACAAGTAAAATACGGAACGTGTTATGTGGGTTATGATATGAATATGTTGTATCTGCCTATGAAAGACTTGTAAGCACGGTGTGAACGTACAGTAGGTAGGAGAGCATTCGGATCACCCTCGATAATGATCCTTAGTAAATTTACTAAAGTATCTACAATTTTTATGCGGCTCTGAGTGCTATTCACGAGTACAAAACATCTTGTCAGGAGAGCATAAGACGCATCCCCTCCTTCTGCAGCCCAGTGTTTTTGCAGATCAGACACATATTTCGAAGGTTCGAAACTCAAAGGACTTTCATCCAATGGTATGTTCGATGAAATGGTATCTTCTGCAGTGCCAGCGGATTGTAGTGAAAGGGTGTTTTTACTGATATTCGGCTTGGCTGATTTTATATTTGGCTGGTCGTGAATGCTATTTATTAAGGTCTCTTCGTCTGTATGGCTTGTAGTAGCTACCGCAGGGATTGGAGCCTCTGAAAGTTCCTCATCGATCTTCACCGGATGGTTCTCGGTCACCTTCCCTGCGCCAATCGATTCCCGGTTCCATTCCTCTTGTAATTTTCTAGCCAGTTGCTCATCAGTCAATTCCGAGGGACCCGCGCTACCTGGACTGCTCAGGCTTGGACTGCCGACTGGGCGAGATGACAGCCCTTCTTCATCTTTCTTTTGCTTTCCGAAAAAGAAGTCGAGATTTCGAGAACTACTGGGCTTTGTATCATTATTGAGCTTCCTCCGCTTCGTAGGTGTCCCCATGATCTATATGCCTTTCGCCACTTGCACCTGGAATGGTAGAGTCAATGGTTGTGAATATGCTTAGCATTATCATCTACGCGCCATTGTAAGAACTGTTGCTAAGCACAAAGAACGTTTTGATTAATTATTGGGTTTGAAACATCTCGCAAAACCCAAAGTGAGCTGTAGAATTAAAGAAAAGGTTAATTGACAGCCTCCTAGTAGATACAGCCCGCGCAGATTTCGGTGACGTCGTCGTCTTTCAAAAGGGACCCCGGAAAATGGTAGGTGCTCTCCACAATGCACGAAATGGAACCAGATGTCAAAATAACAGCTCTTTTCAATATTCGACATAAAATCTGGTAATTGAGATTCAGATTTGGAAATTGAATTTAAATACTCAGGAGCTTCTAATTGACGTGGTGTCGGAATCTTCTTTCATCTGGTACATCTTTAAAGTTTATCATAGGATATCGCAATGTAAGTGGTGTTGTATTTCTGCTATTTGGTATATAAATTCTGGAAGTGCTTTTTGGCGACGCTAAAATTTAATTGTTACATAACCATCCCTACCTTACCTTCATTAAGGACAACTTCAATTATTGCAACTGTCAATCGAAAAGGACCACCCGATCAATAAACATGTCGCTCCATATAGAGCAGGGGCGTAGCCCGAGGGCTTATTTGTGCAATCCTGTCAACGATATACCTGTTGGAGAAAGAAATATCAGAGTTGAGGACTGGTTGAACGACAAAATCCAAACCACCGCAGATATGACAGATCTATCGTGCTTGTTGGAGAACGTAGAAGCAAAGCAAAGACAACTGGAAGAGCAAGTGAGTCGCAGTATATATGTCGATTTCATTATATTAGCTAACAAGGATTTCTCATAGTTGAAGGATGCCAAAACCAAGCTCGCTGAGGCCAAAAAATCCGCCGCAAACCATACTTCGTCGATGGCCCAAAAGACCCAAGCTTTTGAGCAACAACAGGAGGATTTACGAGCGCGGATGATGATGCTTACATCTTCAGATACTCCAGAGGAAGCGGTGCGACGTTTGAAAGGACCGATGGAGAAACTACAACAAGTCGAATTGGCACAAGCATATGTTGAACTATTGAAGGATGTCGATGATTTGACCAAGGAAGCTCATCAAAATTTACCTGACAACCCTACCGAGGCCCTAAAGCCATATGTGAGATTAAAACAACTTGCGATGACTTTACAAGCGACTCAGAACTCCACAGAAATTGCTGCCCCTCATCTTGTTTCCTATGTCGAACAGACTTCCAGTCATTTGTGGGCACAGATGGTTCAAATCATGGTCAAAGAATTCCGGGATGTACTCAAAGCCTTGAATTGGCCAGATCTCACTGTTGAAGTCTCTAAGGAATGGCAAATATGTTTTGGAAGACTTTTAGACCTGCAAGCTCCAGAAATCAGAGAAGCTCGAGAGCCCCTTGTACTTCTTCCTATCGCGGTTTTAGTGAAGGAGAGTGAACTGAAATTTCGCTACCACTTCCTGGGAACTACGCCTACGAGTGCGAGCAGTCTTGTAAGTTTCTATCTTCCGTTCGTGAAATCACTCTGACAAAAATAGCTCGGAGAGTATTACCTAAATTGGATCATTGATGTTATAGATGCACATGAGGCTTATCTTCGAGACAATGCTGGACCTGTTCTGGCTGCACACTTCTTAGGCAGTTCTTTAGCTGGGAACTCACTTTACATAGATCCTGTATCTGCCTTCATCACAGCACTCTTGCCATTAGTCAAAGAGAAGACCGATCTTGTTCTTAACGAAATTCAGCACAACTCCACGCACTTGAGTAAATTTATAGGCCAGTTGATGGTCTGGGATGATGCTATCCGAATCAAGTTCAAGTATGATGGTGGCAATTCTGAAGTTGGATGGGTTGGGGTGACTTGGCATGTTCTAGATAAATGGTTCGGTCCCTGGCTCGAAGCTGAGGAAAGATTTGCCCTCCAGAGATATGAAGAAATAATGGAATCGCCAGACAATGGAGATATTGACTACGACAGCAACGAGTCGAAGAAGACCAAAGGTACCTTTGGTGCTACCAAGGTCACTGATCTCCTGAAGGCAATTACAACACAATATAAAGACCTCAGAAAAGTCTCACATAAACTTCGTTTCTTCCTCAATACTCAAATCGCGGTTCTTGATATGTATCAAATTCGCCTGTCCGAATCTCTGGATGCTTATATCTCACTTACCTCAACTGTTGGCCGTATAGCTACAGGCGCCACTAAAGAACAACAACGGTCTGTCGAGGGAATGGCTGGGCTCGTCAGTCTTTGCAAAGTCTTTGGTAGCGCAGATCATATTATCTCAACTCTGGAATTCCTTAGCAACGAAGCCGTTAGCATCTTCTCTCAATGCACGATGATGAAGACAAGTACTGATTTATGGTTAGTTCTTCGTGGAATTATATTTTCAATTAGACGAGAGAGCACAAGGTGTACATCCGGATAGCGCCATCGCTGGCCCGATTACCTGTTCGCAACTAAAATTATCTACTTCGCTCAAGTTAGGCACTGGCGAGGGAACTATGTTCGATACAACCATCCAAGGCTTTAAGAAGATCCGTAGCAACGCGGGAGATCTTCTACAGAGAGCGATCAAATACCCATTTCCAACTGCTTTCAGAGCTTATCTCACTCGAGCGCAATGGACAACAGTTGGGCAAGATTCTCAATCTTGTAAGTTATTTTCTCTCACCCTAAAGTCCCGAATCACATGAATCATTTATACCTTTTGAATTATTCAGTATCCATGAAGGATTCGGACTGTTTCGATGATTTCTGCGTTTGGTATATTCATGATGTTTAGCATTTTCACAATATTTGAATTGTCCAACTCGCTTGCATTTCCACGAGCTTTTCACTGATCATGTTTAGTACCACATTACACGTCCTCTTTAACAATATCAGCCGAGCTTGACCAACCTCTTCAGGTAATGAAAGAGAAAATGGCTTATCTCGAGAAAACCATTTCTTATCCTGCATTCATGCGAATTTGGCGTCAAGCAATCTCAGCCCTTGAAGACTTGCTTTTCAACGAAGTCCTCCTCAGGCAGGATTTTACAACGTTGGGCGCAGCTCGCTTTGCCCAGGATCTACAAGGTATCCAAAGCATCATTGGCAACTATTTACCGTTAGAGGGTACGGCATTCATGATGCCACGACTCACGCAGGGCATTGCTTTGCTGAATTTGCCTATAGAGGCATCGGATGAAGGGGCGTTGTCTTTGTCTGAGGCAGCAGAGAAGATTTATGCTGGGAGACAAGCATGCGAAGGGGTTCTGAAAAAATTGCATATAGATCTATTGGACAATCCTACCGCGAGACAGATTATCCTGCGAAGAGTTGAGGCAAACGATTAACGTAAGAGGTGGATAATACGGACGGACTCTGGTTCACATTGGATTGAACCGTATCACAATCATAAATCTTTGACTAGATATTCATATTTAGAAATAGAAAAATATAATTTTTGGATGATGAGAGATCTGTGGATGTTTTACGAACTCTCAAGTTTTAGCATAAACTATTGAATATTAATAATTTTCCGACATGTCAAACACTTCAATCACATTCCTAGGTACAAAAGCATGCGGCGTTGAAATTCAGCTCAAATCATCGAAATCTTTGATTTTGAAAGGTTCCTTTATGTTTTGAGTAAAGCAAATATCTCCATCCTCCCCTCAGCCATTCCTCTCAGATTACCTCTTGCTTCTCCATTGCCAAACTTGTGTAACTAATTTTCTGGGGGCTTCGTCCTCATCCTGCTCCTCTTCGGTGTACCATGTAAGGTATGAAATAACAGTCTTTATCTCCGTCTCAGGATCATCACTCAATCGCACTCTCTCACTATGTTCTAGCTTGTGAATTCTACTGCATTGGCAACGCCTTGACCTCTTATCTTAATCTGCATCAATTCCCATTTCCCATTTGCTTATGGGTGGATTAGAGTACAATCGCTCTGTCTCCCGTAAGTGCAAATCATTCAAGCTTATCTCAGTGCATTTCTTGTGTCGTCGGCTTGGATATGTTGGATGATAGATACTGCATTTCCGATGCGATATCCAAGCTGTATGCTGTATGTAGGGTTGTGTCAAGAATAGGGGAGATGTCAAGAATTCACAAATCTGCTTATATGCTTCAAAGTCAGATAAGAATATGCTGGGAAAGACCGCTCACTGAGGTGTGAACCGTGTTGGTGATATTGGAAGGAGAGAGATGTTTGTCTCAGAGGGAATAAAAAGATGCAGTCACAACTGATTGTAGATTGGTCTTAACACATGAATTCACGGAACGCTAGCTCTTGCAATGACCAACTAGCATCACAATCATGGTTAATGTCCACCAGAAGCAAACAAATCATCTAATTGACCATCCTTCGAGCAGGCCATCAGGCGAAGGACAGAACAGGCGCTGTTCAAGATCTGAGCACGGAAATTTCTCATCTAGATGTTGGGTACACAACGGAGTATTTGACAGGGCCTACGCAGACTCTCTGCTACCATAAGAATAATGAATGCACCATGAATATCCAACCAAAGCAGTTTCCGGTAAAGTATCACATGTTTGAAAGATTGAGAAGTTTGATTGAAGATTTATCATCAGTCAATGGGGCCATATTTGTCTAAGCAATGCTTTTTGCATTAAAAATTGGTGAAGACAAAATGCATCTCGAAAAACCCAGTCGATAACTCCTCGGTTCCCAACCTAAAGCACTCTAAGCCTTAGCGGCAGCTTGGTTTGGGTTGACTTTCTTTCCGTCCTTGTTGTATCTAACACGGGGAGGTGGAGCACGGTTACGTCTTCCAACACGGGATCGGACACTGTAGAAAAGGGAATCAGCCCAAGTGTTCTTCAAGGGTCAAACTTACTGGCAGTTCAACCAAGGATTCATCTCATAGCATTAACATACCGGACAATCTTGCCGTGGATGGCACAAGAGACGCAGTATTGCAATTTGAGGTACATCTTGGGAACTGTGTACTCAGAGAAGACAGATGCCTCTGAGATATCACCTGTAATAAAATAGTGTTAGTGTCTGTTGCAAAAAGTCCAAAAGTCTTCATCTGCGGACTTCTTGATGTTCCATGTCTTATGCGAAATCGATGAGAGGGGATGGTCAGGAATTATCGGGACGTACGGATGGCAGCGGACTCAACCATGTTGCGGATGGTAAATCTCTTGATCGCCTTGTCCTTTGGTGTGCATCGGGAGCAGTTGGAGCATCTGATGGGCTTGACGTGACCACGACCCTTCTTGTTACGTCCGCTATAAATTCAATCAGCCTTCCGGTCCCTTTGAATATCTCATATTTTTCGACATTGATATAATCATGACAATCATATTGTTTCTCGAAAGAGCTCGTCGTAAATTATGGATGGAGTGGGAAATCTTACTTGGACGCGCGCTTCTTGACCATTTTTGCGGATTCTAAAATAATTTGTTAAATTTGTCTAGAAATCGATTTTAGGGATATTTGCGAACTTACTGAATTGGCGGGTTATTCAAATCTTTGGTTGTTGGTTGGCGATTGTCGTTCGTAGGATTGTAATCTCGTAAGTCAACATCTTTCAATATTCAGTTGTGTGATCTGGTAAGCGAGACCTAGCTTGGCGCTAACGGATTTTAGCGCACAACCAAACTTTCGAAATTCCCTATCAATTATCTTCAACATTTCTTTTCGAACTCTACAAGACCTTTGAGGAAGACAATCTAAACCGTTGTCCAGGTATGTTATTACTATCTGAATGCAAAATCGCATATTTTTAATATGATTGAAATCTAACATATCTTTGAAGATAGTCATGCAGATCTTCGTCAAGACCCTCACGGGCAAAACCATCACCCTCGAGGTTGAGTCTTCGGACACCATCGACAATGTCAAGGCCAAGATCCAAGACAAGGAGGGAATCCCACCCGACCAACAGCGATTGATCTTCGCCGGAAAGCAACTCGAAGATGGCCGCACCCTCTCCGACTACAACATCCAAAAGGAGTCCACTCTTCACTTGGTGTTACGTCTCCGTGGTGGTGGCAAGAAGCGCAAGAAGAAGGTCTACACTACCCCAAAGAAGATCAAGCACAAGCGCAAGAAGACCAAGCTCGCTGTATTGAAGTACTACAAGGTTGATGGTGATGGAAAGATCGAGCGTCTCCGCAGAGAGTGCCCAACTCCAGACGTAAGTTATCCTTCAACAATTAGTATTTTCTGTACGCTACTAACATACCTTCAGTGTGGTGCCGGTGTTTTCATGGCTGCCATGCACGACCGTCAATACTGTGGACGTTGCCACTTGACCTACATCTTCGATGATGCCAACAAATAAATTATTATCAATGGATAGTCGAATATGAAGGAATAGATTTTCGCATGCTATGGTGTAGTTTAGGTATTACTCAATGCTACGCAGAATCTATGGAAAATATGCTTGATTTTTCAATTATTGGCCCGCAACATAAAAGTGATTCTTGTGAATATGTTAAAAAGTTCGGCTTAGAGCCTTGGAATGACCAAGAAATGAAACCGTTTATCTCCAATTGAACAAATGACGAGAACGAGCAGATATCTACCACCAGAATTGGCTTCTAGCCCGCTGCATTACCACGAGCCAGGCCTAGCCATTGTTCCTCTATCCTCCAGCTGTGTCATTCTATATTTTTATCCTAATCCGGGGTCGATCTGTAGTTAAGTATTTATATAATCATCTCCACGCGCGCGAGCATTACTATACGTGTTCAAGATCCCCAGCTACCTCCTACCCATCTAATCAGTATTCCCTTACCCTTCTCCAGGGAATACAAGGCGCCCAAAGGCAGCCAAATATCGATAGAATCCAGAGACTGTTTCTATTTTTGTAACGTTTTTCCTTATTTTCGCAACAGACATGCCTTGAAAGTCTTTACTGTAGAACCTTCCAATGATTGACGTAACAAATAAAGGAAACTCAAGAACGGACATGTCCCACATTGCTGTTTCCGTGCATTTTGATCTACGCACTTCGTGGGCGACAGTGACCACTATATACTCGTGATCTCAAGACAACATGAACATCATACACGGACTCACAATTAACGTAACACACCGGAAGGCACCGCAAATATGGACTTCGGCAGAAAAAAGTAAATCACCGCTTTCCTGGTTAGGCACTTATCACGTGGTGTTCGCCCAAATTATCTTTTGTTGCACGTCTGAGTTTTACACTCGTTTTTTAACTTACACGAGCAGATTCAGGGCCAAATTTTTACAAAATTACATCGACTGGGAATAGGAGCGGTTCCTGGATTTTATTACCGGGATCCAGGAGATGATGTTTTTTCGATTTTGCGCTTATTTGACTGAAGTCAATAATATTGCAGGTTCACATTTTGAAATTCTTGGTAATCACTATGTCTAATATCTGATGTACAAGTGCTTGCGGAAATGTGATTCTTGATTCACAAATATTTAAAAGTAGGTACATGTATAAACTTGCGCGTGCGAAATGAAATATGATTATGGTACTTTTGACTTCCTTTAGAAACCGTAACGCCATCATGATCTGTACATGACCAGTCGCCTCATCTGTATCTCTTGTGACTGCCATCCAATTCCCTCCATTTTTGCGGTCGATTCAAGCGCTGTGAAGCGCAGATTTTCCATGTCTCACGACTTTGCTGCCCTATTTCCGTTGCTCTTGTCATCAGAATGGGAGTCGTCTTTCACAACGTATCCGCGCTGGTCTTTTGCTAACTCGAATATCGTCCTATAATTTTCCATGTTTTGAAACCCCCCTCAATCTCCATACACACTCGCAACCTATCCAACAACTCTCCTCATCTCTTCCTCCCCCCAAACTTCCGTACCTTGCTTTAATGCATGCACCAGTATCTGTAACGCATTTTCATTGAAATCATCCGCTTCACGGATCTTGTCCAGATCTTCAGAGAATTCAGTAGTGATACGTTGAAGATAATGCGATGTGAACTTTTCAGCGAGAGCCGAGTCTTTCACTAAAGCCGGTTTCTGGAGATGTGTTAATAAATTTCTGAAAACATTTGGAGGGGAGACAAATTACAGATGAGACTTTGACCGATGTTGGTTTTGTTTGAGAGATTGATTTGGTAGCTGCTGGTTGAGCTTTTGCCTTGAGAGATTGAGATTTAGGAGCAGTGTCACTTTCACTGTCGGATATGTTTGTAACTATCTTGATATTAGTATAACTATAGGGTTGACCAAACATGATAATATACATACCTTCAGTTCTCGACTGGCTCTTCTTGCGACGCTTAGGTTTCACTGCTTTGGGCATCTTGGCATCCATTTTCACAAGCAAGAAATTTTATGTTTACTCGGACAGGTTGTTATTTCGACTCTCAAGATTCAAGACGACGACTAGAAAACGATGTGTTGCATGCACGTGAAAAGCTCATGAGAAAATATTTTAGTGGAGAATGGGGTGGGGGAAAGTGTGATGGCGCTTTTTCCCTCCCGAGCCTCCCCACGAATCAATTGCAACCTATCCAAACACTACATTCTCTTTGCGGAATCATACTATGACCAGAATCTAGTGCAAACAGTACAAACCAGGCACTGTTTTGTGATTGCATTTATTAGCAATTTCATGATTTTTCACAATGGACGAGACTTTCTGCGTTTTGGGGCCGGAAAGGAAGCACAAACCAAGGAGATCACAAATCGCCACCATCAATCTGAATTACTTCTGTATTCTATCACATGGTTCATAACCCAAGGTTATTTTGATACTGAACTGTTATTTCAACAACTAACTTCCAAGCATAGAATTCCGTTTCAGATGCAAATAGCCGGCATGTTCTAACATCTTCCCCATCCTGAGCAAGTGTAGCTATACTCGTATGTATGACAATAACTTTCGTAGATTGAATTTACTTTGCAACCGTCACGACGATCAGACAACAGCATTCATTTAGAACAAGAGATACCCAAAACCCAATATACAGCAATGAAAGCAACTGGAGGATTTATGCAGTCACCTCTGCTAATTTTGGCAAGGCCCAATTTAGGGTTGTGTGTTTGAGAATCGATTGAATTGACAAGCAAGAGAGAAGCAATATAGTTTCTGAGGAATGGTGTTATGATAGATTGAAGAGCGATTTGATCCGACTCCTTTGGATGGGGATGGAGCTCTTCCACTGCCAAAGTCAAGAACAACCTGCTGGCGAGATAAGTTTCCACACCCTCACATCTTATAATGGCCTCTCCTAGATCCTTCATCAAGCGCATGCGAGACTTGTAGATCTTTTGAGGGTCCAGAAATTTGGCTTCAATCTCAGGCATCTCCAAGTTATCTGCGACTGCGGCCACCGCATCATATATTCTTCTCAACGTATTTGGGTCAATCAAGTCACTCTCTGTGAATGAACTAGCATTTAGTTGAGGCAAGTGCCTTGTCGTGTTAAGTGGTCTCTTTCCCCAGCACAGGTGCTTGTTTCTTCCCCAGACTAACAACTAACCGGCCACTAACGAGAGCCGACTATTACAAATGATTCCGTCGGCATCAGAAATTACCTTGGGACTATTTGCCGTGACCCTCAATCTTTCAGCCGCTGTATCCAGTTTAATCATCGACACCAGAACAATAGGGAACACCGGTCTAGCTACTTTGGCGATTTTCTCCTTCGGCAAACAACAACAAAAACAACAAACCCATCACCACTTTTACTCTACTTCTGAGAGATTTTTAGAACGGTTGTGAGCTCTTGGGTGATTGCATATTACCTATAACCCCTCATGCAATGAACTTCGTCTAAAAAGAAATCACCGGTTGTTGAAAGGTCGATAAAGTTAATTCAACTAGACGAAAGTATTGACAAGAAAATATCTACAAACCTGACTAGAGTGAGTCTAGGCTGATATAAGGCCGATAGAACTGAATAAGACAATAGAAACTCAAGGAAAAGTTGGGGGAACCAATCAAATAGTATTTGATATAACTCAAGTAACAATAGATATACTCAAGGGGTACCAGAGCATATGATTAATTGCGATGAATCATCGAGATTCATTGTTACTCACTTTAGACTCCGTGCCGAATCATAGTACCCCGATGATTTTTTGTCCTCGAATTAGATTTACATCAACTCATTTATTGTTTGTATGACCAGACTACAGATGATGTAGGGCCTGCGATGTAGGCTCTAATCGTCACTTTTGTATCCTGTTTAGGAAGCGAAATCAGTTACCGGAAGAAGCAATCCTTACCTACCTACCTTTACAACCAACTACGAGCGTAGCGCATTCGCTAGTTCTTACTATATAGTAGGCGTGACTTAATGTCACTCACCACCTACCTAGATATTGTTTATACACATATTTTCATTATTACATGACATATCTGATATTATTCGTCTATCATTCACAAATATATTTCGAAATCGAATTCCATTTCAACATCGAATAGGCGATGACGAGAGCTGAAATGTGACAACTGGGACTAGATTCAGGTCGTCCATACAATTCAAATTTTGGCATACTTACTCTCACACCTGAAACACATAGTCTCCGATTCGCATCTGGTTACTGAACCGTAAGCTGTCAGGGGATGTGCACGAAATAAGTGGGTCCATGCTGCACGATTACTCTCATAGCATTTATTGAGGGCTCACACCTTTCTGGTGAAAGGGGAGAGCACTCTGCAGCACTGAGGCGGATTTCGAGAGGACCTTGCCTAATGTGATATAAACAAATAAGCAGATTGATATTCATACATCAATAAGACGACTTGCTATCTGGAAACATTCATCTCTTCTCCATAAGGTTCCTGTGGCGCGCTTCAACCTTGGTATCTTTGTCTTCCTTGTCACCAGCGGGTCATATAAGTCGATTGAGCACAAGGGACTCTTACCCATCATGAATTTCTTTCGGCACCAGAATGCATTACATTTCGAGCCTAGTCTCATGAGGCATATCGCGCAAGACGATGTCGTAAAGTCTACAAACGTGGTCAATATTATATCTGCAATATGCGCCGTAGTATTTATCTTATGCTTGCCTGCCAGATTTTGGCAGCTGTGTGCTTCTCGCGGAAAAATTGTTTTGAGATGGCAAGGACGCTTAAAAGCAGTTAGTACTGATCTCCCTTCCATACTTTATGAAAAATACCGATAACGACCACAGGCCCTTGCGATACTGCTGTCTTTTCTTCTGCTGGCCTATGTTGTCACAGTAAATGTGAAGCATGAAGTAGTTTTCGTCGTCTCTCTGTTAGCTTCATCGAGCGCTGCATTTGGATTGAGTCTGCTTTTGGTACTTGAGAACAAGCGATCTCTGAAGCCGTCAGATTTAGCTGTTCTTTATCTTGTGTCATCAATCGTGTGCGATGTTCTTCTTACAATGCCGCAGAAAATTCGGGCATTATCTAGAGCCTCACAGCCAGTACTTGCTCGGTGTGTCATACACTCAACTCTCTTAGTACTCGAGAGTTGTGATAAACGTCCTTCACTTAGCAACTCTAGTAATCTTCAATCCCCAGAAGAGTCACATGGGGTGCTAAGCAGGGTGCTATACACTTGGATAAACCCCATCTTGTTTCATGGATATACAAATATCCTCATTGACCAAGATTTGCCACCTCTCAGTCAAGATATGAAGGCAGAGTTTACAAGGAAGGCAATGGTTCAAGCATGGTCCCGTCGAGGTTAGTCAAGAGATCCAAAGTGTTTATTTTCTTCCTTCTCACAAAACTAGCCAAGCCTGGAACCAAGTATTGCCTACCTTTGGCATTGATGAAATGCTTGAAGCACCCATTTTTGGCTGCTGTTATACCGCGAATTTTCTTGATTGCTTTTCGGTATTCTCAACCTCTTCTAATAAAAGAGTCCATCAAATATGTTGTGGGATATCCTATCGAGGAAGAAAGTAGCCGCGGGGTTTGGCTTGTTGTATCGGCCGTGGCTATCTACGTTGGCCTTGCTGTAAGTGCCAGTCTCTGTTCTCCTGTCACACGCTAATCGGCTCAGTTATTAACAGCGATGTACCAGCACCGCATAAACAGACTTAAGCTCATTACCAGAGGGGCCCTTGTAGGGTTAATTCATGCAAAGACTATGGAGTCTCCCAGCATTGCTTATGACAATGGCGAGGCGACCACACTTATGAGTACAGATGCAGATAGTCTGGATGGGATAGCCGTGATGGTTCATGAGACGTGGGCTCAGGTTATTGAAGTTTTCATAGGTTTAGGACTTCTCGCTATCCAAGTTGGCTGGATCTGGCCCCTTCCACTTTTCCTTGTCTATTGTTAGTACTTCAACCTAATCCCTTGATATGATACTAAGTTTAGTAGTATGTTCACACATGAGTCGCTATGTTGCGAAGCATTTACAACCTCGTCAAAAAGCTTGGAATGCGGCAACACAAAGTCGTATAGGAGCTACTAGTTCATTGATAAGTTCCATGAAGGTCATTAAGATGATTGGGCTCCAACATAATCTTACCAACCGAGTGCAGCAATTTCGAGAAGAAGAGCTATGGGTGGCCTCGAAGCTTCGATGGGTCATGGTATATTACAATGCATCTGGTTAGTCAACAGCAGTGTATCAATTCTGATCCTCGCATTATGCTAACGAGAATGTAGCCAACGCACTGGGAATAGTTTCTCCGGCGATTACACTGGCTCTGTTTGCTGTTATATCACAGGCTAATGGAGTTAAGCTCGACCCGGCGACTGCATTCCCAACCATGGCAATCTTGAGTATGATTACCCACCCAGCAAACATGGTCATGACAATTGTACCGCGTGTGGTAGCGGCTTTTGCTGGCTTTGAAAGAATCCAATCATTCTTGCTGCGCCCATCTTCACAAAACAATCGTGGAGTATTGCCGAGACTTCCTCAAAATGAAGTGGCATCCAGCCATTCCACAAACCCCAATCTCGCAGTTCAAATTCAACAGTTAAGAATAGGTGACAAACAGTCAATTCTTGATAATATAAACATTGAAGTGCGCGCAACATCTTTCGTTATAATCTCGGGTCCCACCGGTAGCGGTAAATCAATATTATTACGCACTATAATTGGAGAAGTAATACCTGCACAGGGAACAATTGCTTTATCAACAAGGAAGATAGCATACTGTGCTCAAAGACCCTGGCTACCAAGCGGTAGTATCAAAGATGTTATTTACGGTGCTAATGATATTGATGGTGCTATTAATCAAGACAATGAGGATTGGTACAATACTGTTACAGAATTGTGTTGTCTCACTCATGATTTTGATACCTTGCCAGATGGAGATCAGGCACAAATTGGTAGTAAAGGACTTAATTTGTCTGGAGGCCAAAGACAGCGTGTGGTATGTTTCTTCGAACGACAAGGTAGGTATGAACTAAACTAACAACGGTAGACACTCGCGCGCGCATTATTCTCAAGGTCGGATATATTATTACTCGATGATACTTTTAGCGGGTTAGATGGTGATACTGAGCAAACCATATTTGATAATTTATTTGGATCCGATGGGCTAGTGAAACGGTTGAAGACTACTGTCATACTAGTTTCTAATTCTAGTGAGTTCCCTTTGCTTTTACATCAACTCAAGTTCTTACCTTAGAATAGCTCAGTACTTTCAATCAGCAGATCATGTCGTTGTTCTGGGGGACCATGGGATCACAGATCAAGGTAACTGGCAAAGTATCCAAGTCAAATCCGGATCTATAGCAAAGTTCTCTTCTGGAAACCACGTTAGAGACAACGCCGCAGTGGCGGCGGCTTTTGCAAAACTTAGCGCTCAGGTTCGAGCAAAAGACGAAGCCGAAATTGACCTTGCAAGACAGAGCGGAGATTCGGCTTTGTATGGTAAGCCTCCTCTTTCTTCAACAGCGTTGAGAGTGAAATTAATATAACCTCAGGATACTATCTGAACTTTGTCGGCTCGAATAACTTTTTTCTCCTTATTGCCTGCACAGCATCATATGCCTTCTTCATCACCATTCCCCAATACTACTTACAGTTTTGGACCGAGTCAAGTGGTGGAAATACCCTATTTTGGGTCCTTGGATTTTTGTTTCTATCATTCATGGCGTGGATCACGACAAGTATCCAGATGTGGTAAGTTACTCGAAAACATCATGAACTTATGGTTGTTGAACACATTCTAGGGTCGTTCTCATACAATCAGCATCGCAATCTGGATCTCGAATACACAAACGGCTTTTGCATATCGTAACGAGGTCAGTGCTTCTTTTCTATAGATCTATAGGAGATGGTGGGATAATATAGGAGAGACTGATGATTATTAGCGCATCTTTGTCATTTTTCACCCAGACCGGCAATGGTTCC